TAGGGATGGTCTACTTGCTCGCGTTCATCTATCCAGAATAGCAAGAGTAGATAAACAAGAGTGTGCAATTCCCGGATCCGCGCGGATGAGTTGGCCCACGGCAGAATTTTTTGTTGACGTAATCTTTTCGACCACCCACGCGCTGCTAGTCTTTTGGAAAGTTTTGCCTCGTGCACTTGGCCGGGCTTACATTACAATGTCGGTGCCCAGCACGTGCTCTCACACGGCCCTCCTAACCGCAATCAAATGTGCTGTTGTTTGGTGTGTGGCGAGTGTGGCTTATCGCTGTGCGAGAATGCGCGTTCTTTTAATGATCTTCTGAAAAAAGGTGACGTCAACAAAAAATTCCGCCATGGGCAGGGGTATCTGGACTGCAGGAGAGATCCGGAGTTGCACACTCTTGTTTATCTACGTAATTCTTGAGAATAGGCATCCAGGAACGCACAGAGTGGGTGCACCGTGATGTCGCGTACTAAACCCGGGCTTATTCCTGTAGACGTCTATGTCAGGGCTTCTATTCACATCAGGCTTCTATTCACATCAGGCTTCAATTCAAAACAGGTACTTCTATGTGAAACCAGGCTTAAGTGCCGACAGTGTGTCTTGAAAAATCAGGCTTGTATTCAAAACAGGCTTCTATATGAGACAGGCGTTAATACAAGATACTTCGGTATATGGCGGTGGGGGCGGGGGAGGGGGGGGGGGGCGGGGGGGGGGGCATTGTCAAAGAAAAGACTGACCATCCGTATAGCCTCTTCATCCCGTGTCAGCTGGTGGATGAGTTTGAAGATCAGGAAGCCTCTGTGCAAAGCAGAACAGAACACAAACACCAGAATGAAGACCCTGAACTTGCGTTGGGTTGATTTACTCGCCAGAAAGCCTGGGTGGCCCGTGGACAATACACTGACACCGTTCCGCAGCTAGCAGGCACACTGCGGAACAAACCTCAGGCTCCTGACAGGTATGCAACAGTATCCAATTTCCACATGGGAACGTGCGAACTCACACACACACACACACGCACGCACACACACACACACACGCATGCCCACACGCACACACACACACACACACACACACACACACACACACACACACACACACACACACACACATAGGCCTATAGAACAGACACACCCGGCCTCTACATCGTCCGCAATTTAAAAAAACTTCCACTATACATTCTCAATACAGTTTTTAAAATATACAAGTGAAATGCAGAACATACTCATCCAACGAGCGTGTTGAGCCTTTCTCAATGACCACTTGCCAATCGTTGGGCAATGGCGAGGTTTCAGCCCATCCCAGCTCCGCATGACGAGCAACCAGCTTTCCAATCGTCTCGTTGTTGATGGAGCCGTTCAGATGAGCATGCAGCTCCTATTGCACATCCGCAACAAACACACGCGCAGATGGAGGCAGTCGATGGCATTCTATGTTGGTGCGACGATGAAAAGGCGGGGGTCCGGGGAAACACCCGTGGGAAATGTTGAGGAAAATTGAGCCCAAATAGCCCACATTTCATTACATTTCAAACATCGCAAGATAAAAGTATTGGTGCAGCTTTGGCCGCATTTGCCGCACCGGTTCCAACACCCCTGTACATACGGAATCAGGCGTGTAGCCCGCATGGGACAAGGGGGAATGTGCACCCCCCCCCCCCCCCTAAAAATTTCGACCTGGGTTCAGCATTCACAAAAAAACCTTGAATGACATGCACCAGCAATCCTACACATACAGTGTGTATCGGTTATAGTGTGGTCGTATCAAGAATATACTGCTTACAAGAATGAACACTCATTTTTTCATAATCATAACACATATTTTATGTGTATATTTATTCTTACAAGCAGTATTATCGCATAGTAGAGTATATCGGCCCTAAGAATGAATTTTGTGTAGCAAAATATGCCAGATTAGTGCAAAGTGTATCGCCTGTAGTAATAACATCTGTGCTCTGTGCATACTCAATACAATAATAGTCAACACAAAAAGAGAGTTATGTCCAAGGGAGCATTGGAGAATCACTTTTTCTGTCCAGTCGGACTCTTTCTTCCGACTTCTCTCGGATCCGCTGCTCCGCAGTCGCCTAGCACGAACGCGAGTCTGATTGATCCGTGTGTATCATGTGTACGTGTCCACATGCCAGACGTGCGCTCATAATGATTAATTTTTTTGTCACACGTGCATATGATATGTCACACGTGATTTATCGTGTGTAAGAAATATCGGCAATAAGAATCAAATGTCGTTTTTCAAACACCCACGCTATAACCGATACCTACTGTACTTGTATGCGGCTGTGCCCCCCCCCCCCCCTCTAAAAGGGGGACCAGCTATGTCCCTGACTGAGTGGTAAACTGTAAGTTCCCCTGGCCCCTCTGCAGCTCCAAAGACAACTGGGATCCACAGTAGCAAGAGGTTATGTACTCTTGACAGTAGCAAGAGGGTAAAAATCAGCATCGACATTACTGCCACTAGCCCATCATCGCAAAGTCCTGAAGCCGCATGATCTAAACCACCGCAGGACTCACACGCAAAGTCTCCCGTACCTTTTTTCGAGTGACGTTTCCAGTACGTTACAGGTTCTGATACAGACACCATGTGTCATTGTGCGGGTGCATGCCCCATGATTGGCAACGCAGTCGACATGTGCCAGTGAACAAAGCCCTAGAGCACACTGGCTTAGTTTGGCACCACCAGCACTCTACACAATCACCAGGCACGGCTGGTTGTTGTTATTATTGTTGTTGATATTTACTTTTACTTCGCAAGGCCGTTGTGTTCGGCAAAGAGTGCCTTGCTGACTCCAGCATACTGACTGCACAGTACACCCACCAGTGGTCACGCATCACCGCATGCTAGACGGTGTGCAACAGGCTTACTGCTCCGCGTACAAATCTGGATCCAAAAACACACGACGCCGTAGACTCTAACCCAGTCGTCTGCTTTCTACGTAATTTCTCTACGTTCACGTGACCCAGAACCTCTCTATTGTCTGGGATACGCACAACAAATGGCAATACTGAAGTACAGTCAGTATACATATACAGGTTTGTTCATTTTCTCTGTGCTGCGCTGATGAGTGCACAAAGGGGGAAAGAGTTCTGCCCACAGATTGTGAGTGTTTGTTCAGCCGAATTACTTACTACTTTTGAAGTATCCATTGTGCAATTTTTTAGTCAAAAATCCTGAGGCATATCAAAAATGATGCTCTTTGTATTTTACATGGCACCACTTTCTGCTAGTCTATAGACCTAGCCAACCAGTCTGCAGACACGCTGTGATCAATCACGAGTCAGTGAGCACGAGTAGAGTTCACAGAGTGCATGCAACAAGGTCAGCACTGGTGCTGATCCAGGACAGCGATAGATAGTGGATGTGGCCGTGTACAACTAATTACTTACTGACACCTGTATCTGTGGTTCGTGAACTCAACACACCAGCAGTCAACCCAGGCCAGCTCGGCCGACTCAAAACGCACGTGCTACGCGGTATACATCTGACATTCTGTGCCGCTCCTTTCGCACGCCCTAGCCAAAAGTACGCCTGACGCGCTGACCCGCGCCGCAATCAAGTGTGCCAATTTTCCGGCAACTGCAAAAGTACGTACTACACAATACAGTAAAATCTGGTGTAAGCGACCGCTGGGTTTAGCGACCACCTGCTCGTTAACGACCTCTGGGTTTAGCGACCACCTGCTCTCAATGACCGCTGGGTTTAGCGACCACCTGCTCTTAACGACCGTTTTTCCATGCACCGGCAGTTCTACACAGACACTGTGGGGCCTTGTTCTAAAGACCACCTGGCTTTAGCGACCGCTTTTGCTTGCACCGTGGGGTGGTCGCTTAAACCAGTTTTTCACTGTAGTACGTCCTAGACCCTGTGAGTAGATTATTATTATTTATTTATTTTTGAACTTTGTTTTACTTCGCAAAATCCAAACGGGAATTTCTTCCCAATGACAAGGTAGCGAAGATCTTAAGAGGGAAGAAAAGAGAGAGAGAGAGAGAGAGAGAGAGAGAGAGAGAGAGAGAGAGAGAGAGAGAGAGAGAGAGAGAGAGAGAGAGAGAGAGAGAGAGAGAGAGAGAGAGAGAGAGAGAGAGAGAGAGAGAGAGAGAGAGAGAGGAGGGAGGGAGGGAGGGAGGGAGGGAGGGAGGGAGGGAGGGAGGAGGGAGGGAGGGAGGGAGGGAGGGAGGGAGGGAGGGAGGGAGGGAGGGAGGGAGGGAGGGAGGGAGGGAGGGAGGGAGGGAGGGAGGGAGGGAGGGAGGGAGGGAGGGAGGGAGGGAGGGAGGGAGGGAGGGAGGGAGGGAGGGAGGGAGGGAGGGAGGGAGGGAGGGAGGGAGGGAGGGAGGGAGGGAGGGAGGGAGGGAGGGAGGGAGGGAGGGAGGGAGGGAGGGAGGGAGAGAGAGAGAGAGAGAGAGAGAGAGAGAGAGAGAGAGAGAGAGAGAGAGAGAGAGAGAGAGAGAGAGAGAGAGAGAGAGAGAGAGAGAGAAAAGGAAAGAAAAAAGTGTGTATGCACTGGAAATGATAGTCAGCTGGAAATCGGATCCATTGTCAAACATGGCATTTGCTACTGTTCCATGTAGTCAACGAGCAATTGCATAGGGTACTGCTGCAGCTTTGAAGGTCTCCAGCGTTGTGCTGGAGCGGACGTCTCCAGGTAATCTGTTCCATTTACCTGTAGCGTTGAAGGCGTACCTCGACTTGCCAGCGTTTGTTCTTGCAACTGGAAGACTGCTACTAGTAAGCAGTTTTCACTGCAGTACGTCCTAGACCCTGTGAGTAGTAAGCAGTTTTCACTGCAGTACGTCCTAGACCCTGTGAGTAGTAAGCAGTTTTCACTGCAGTACGTGCTAGACCCTGTGAGTAGTAAGCAGTTTTCACTGCAGTACGTGCTAGACCCTGTGAGTAGTAAGCAGTTTTCACTGCAGTACGTCCTAGACCCTGTAAGTAGTAAGCAGTTGTTACTGTAGCTGTCTACAGTCTACACAACATTGGGTATCTTTTCTTGTTCGTAGGTTTGAGGGAATAAAGAGAGGGGGGGGGGGTACATTTTCACTCACTATTATGCAAGTCGGAGCTATCAACGTGTTTCACCATGACAGCACGTCACAAGGCGGGACTCCACCAACCGGTTTACGGTCGCAGTCAGAACACTGTGTTTCCCATACCGTGTGTCCTGCGCCTTGTGACATGCTGCCATGGCGAAAACATGTTCACTGACTGTGTGTACTTCCTCTGGCGCCCGCCGATCGCGGAGATGCGCTGAGTCTGACTAACCACCACGTGACAGGTACACGGAGATGCGCCGAGTCTCACAGGCCCCAGTGGCATTAACCACCACGTGATGGGTACACGGAGATGAGCTGAGCCTCACAGGCCCCAGTGGCATTAACCACCACGTGATGGGTACACGGAGATGCGCTGAGTCTCACAGGCCCCAGTGGCACTAACCACCACGTGACGGGTACACAGAACGGTACGGGTACAAGTACAACGTACAACGGTACACATCAAAGGCGCTGACACCTGTTGGGATTTCCCTAGTAAAAGAAAAATAAATAATAAAAAAATGATAATACATTTACCTCAATGTCCCGCCAGAGCGCCCCTACCTCCGCGACCCTTCCAGTAGGTCCAGGTGAGCAGGGCAGATGGGTGAGTCCTACTTGCCGCATTCAGTAACACTACTACCGAAAAGCACCGTTGATCCGTCCCCGCTTTAATTTCCGCCCCCTGTCGAATTTCTGCCTGCGAAGCGACGTCGGCGTACACAACGAAAACACGACGTTGAACCGACGCACGTACTGCTGTACACAATACGAGCGACTGCAGGATGAAAATGTGCACAATCCAGCATGCCAGGTCTGATCTTCTGCTTTGTTGTACATCGTACTGCACTTAAACTACCGGTACTTGATCTAATTCCCGCCCCCTGCTGAAAAACCAGCTGGGAAGCGACATGGCGTGGGGGGGGGGGGGGATCAACAGTATTTTAGGGTACATGAACTGTGAGTGTGACTCGTACATTGACCAAAGGTCAAGAGCAGGGAGTCGTCCAAACCCGTCAAAACGCAGGGTTCATGCGATCTCTGCTTGACTAAGGCTGTGTTTACATGAGAAATTTCAACCCGGGTCGAGTTCAGCCCGGGTTGAAAGTCTGTACGATAGACAAAAGAGGTGAGCGTTTACATGAAGACAGTTGACCCGGGTCAAATACTGATATGCCGCCAAAAGTCCACTTCTACAGTCCTGTATGGTCACGTGAATCCGTTCGCGCGAAATTTGCATCTGGAGTGCCGTTCAAACCTGGCGCGAGATACGCACAGAAGTACGTTTGTACGATTTTCTTGACCCGGGTTGATTTCAACCCTCCCCTTGGGGGGAGGGTTGAAATCAACCCGGGGCGAAATTTCAACCCGGGTCAAGCGCAATGCGTCATGTAAACGCGCCATTCACTTTGTGCACATGGCGGGTTGAAATCTGACCCGGGTCGAACTCAACCCGGGTTGAAACGCTTCATGTAAACACAGCCCAAGAGGGTGTGTTAATCATTTCCAATCGGGTCGAGCATGCGTCTGCAGTGCAGAACGACATCATGCTTCACAGAGTCGTACGATGATACAATCATTATCACTTCCCTAACAAGAAGTTCAGGGAGGGGAGAATGGGAGAGACGGGGGCGCTCTGGTGGGATATTACGGTAGTCAGTGTAATAATAGGGCTCACACCAGGGAGTCGTAAAATACCATATTTTTATGACTCCCTGGCTGACGCTGGTAGGGCATGACCAGAGGGGCTCAGGCCCTGGCTGTGAGCATTCGGATTGGGTCAATCAGGGAGTACTAAAAAACCGTTTGTTTAGTACTCCCTGGGGTCAAAGAAAGGCGAGAGTTGTTGCACAGACCCTGATGCCAAGTACCAATCCTACACTAGTATGTACAGTCAACTTGGCTTATAACGACACTCGGCGGCGGAGCACTAAACAAGGTGTGCTTATTCGCGAAGTGTCATTATACCCGAAGTCTCATTATGTGTTGGAGTTGGATGGGACTTTGCTCTGGGCATGGAAATTCTGTCGTTATTCGCGAATTGTCGTTATATCCGCAGTCGTTATTAGCGGAGTTGACTGTATTCAGGTAGGTATGTTTTTATCCCAATTCGCAGAAACCAAACGGGCAGTATCGTCCATGGAAGCGAATGGAAGCATTAGTCACTAATATTCGACTCATTATTGTAAAAAAAATTATTGTATAAAATATCCTGATGTCTGTTTGACTAGTACTAAGGCAGGCATGGCATGTTCTCTATTTCTTTCCTTGGCGCTGCTGATAGGTGCAATTCTCTGCCTGTCTCGTGTCGTCAAGTTGAGCATCTATCCGGGGTTTTTTCGCTCTGTAAAGAGCACTTAGGGTTCCCTGTAACAAGACGGCAACGTCTATAGGGCCTTCCCTATCAAAATAATAAATTCTACTACTACTACTACTACTACCGTAAAGTCCGGAGCAAACGCCCACCCCATTTTTGCAAGATCTGCTGGCCTGTAAGCGCTGAGACTTGAACTTTTGGCCTGACCCTACGGGTATGTTACGGGACGGACTTGAAAGTTCACTTGACACCGTAGCGAAAAGTGACTACTGCTACGGTAAACTATGGCACAAAGCTAGAGCCGAGTAGAGGCTAGAGTTTGGAAGCTCATAGCTCGATAGAGACTGCACTGTTGGGCGTAGACTACGGCTCAACTGAAAGTGTCGCAATCCACTCGAGCGATGTCAAAGCAAGTTACTTTCGATCTGTAAACGTTCATGGATAACTTTCTTGCTCCTCTTCAGTCACCATGAATAACCTTTGCCTTGCCTTTGTCTGTGAAGTTCGCAGTTACCGCCGGTCGGAGCTGCACAGAGCCTATATGTCCAGGGACAAATTTGTAGAATTCCGTCGGCAACCCGAAAACGAGAACGATTGTAATGCTCTTTCGGCTATGCAATCTGGAAGAGATTTTGCCTTCTTGCAACGTGAGATAGCATTTTCGCCGTGTAGGCGGTGCCATTCTACAGCACTGCATTTGAACTCCACGTCGAACTTGTGGCGTCTTGGCATGGCGAAAAAACAATCGCTTCCAAGAACGACTGCGAAAGGATTGAATGCAGTTGGTCCCTTCTTGGCGAGGTTAGTGCATTTTTGTCTGCGGGAATTTGATTTTGAGCTATACTATAGCGAAAGTTCTTTTGCTTTAGTCTTTGCCATAGGCAGTTCGTAGGCTTTTCATGTCTACTCGTACGAAATCGAACTTTCTGTACACCATTCTTGTCCTCAGGACGACGTACCTGTGCCCTGCATTGCGAAAACAGTACAATCGAGCTGGGGTGGGCGTTTGCAGCGAAGTGGGCGTTTGCTCCGGACTTTACGGTACATTATACCAAGAGTAGATAAACAAGAGTGTGCAACTCCGGATCTCTCCTGCACAATCTGCAGATACCCCCGCCCAGGGCGGAATTTTTTGTTGACGTCACCTTTTTTCAGAGAAACGCGCACTTTGCCGCAGAGCAGTGTGAGAGCACGTGCTGGGCACCGGCCTTATAGTGTAAAGCCCGACCAAGAGCACGAGGGAAAACTTTCCGAAGGACTCGCAGCGCGTGCGTCGTCGAAAAGATTACGTCAACAAAAAATTCCGCCGTGGGCCTACCCATCCGCGAGTTGCACACTCTTGTTTATCTACTCTTGATTATACTCTATAGCCAATTCGAGGTCATGCGACTACATCATCAGTTGAGATGCTTGGGCGAAGTCGTGGCACAGCGGTGCTACACTAGCGACTCACGCTATAATACATAGCGCCCGTAAGCGGTTCCATTGACTCGCCGCCATGACATCATTCGTGACATCATTCACATAACCTCTCTCTAGGCCTACTCTTGCTCACCCCTCACTGGCCCTCAGCCTCAGGCCCCCGTCACATCATGAAGCCACTGCCACTTCCAGGAACACGAGTCCCTGGCCTTGGGAAAGGGATAACAACAAGACTACTCACCTGTACTTGTTCCTTGACCTTGCATCTAGTCTCGATCTAGTCCAGATCCGCTTATGTCACTCAAATCAGATCTCGATCTCTACATGATTGCGCTTCACAAGAGTGTGCCCATCCGATACACTGCTCCCCTGATCCGCTGCATCATCCGTGGGGTCATGCACTCTGGATTCTGCGTATCCACAAAGTTCCAAATGCGGAACCCACGATCCTCTCCGAGACGCGTCGCGAGTCGCGACGATTATCGATCATGTCGCCTTGCATGGTATCCCCTTGAAAAGCTGTACACTCGCAAGTCGTATTGCCAGTTTCTTCTGTTGAATTTGAAGTGATCGGCTTCTTCTTTCTGCAACCATGCTGAAGTACGTCCTCCTTCTCGCCGTCCTGGGCTGCGCTGTCGCCAAGATCTGTCCTGGTGGTCTACGCCAGTGCCCTGATTATGAGACGTGCTGCATGACAACGACGGGCCAATACGCCTGCTGCTCATTCGCTCACGCGAGCTGCTGCGCCGACCTGGAGGTGAGTGGTGACTGTCTGCTGTTCCTTTCTGTTCCCCGGCCTCAGCTACGTTCGTAGCTAGAAAATCGAAAAGAATCTGTTGCAGCCGCCCAACGCGCTATTGCCAGTGACAGTGTTGGCTTTTGGCTTTGAAAGCAAGCGCAACCTGTCATGTCCTTGATTGAGAAAGTGATAAGGCCAAAACAAATAATGACCTTGTTTCCGGTCGCCCGACCGCGTACCGGGCCACTTTTTCCCAAATTCTGAAACTTTTTTTGGTCCCAAATGCATACAAACGGTGGCCATGCCATGTGTGCAAGTGCACTCAACGAGTCATAACTCAGTCAAATCTCAACCGAATTCCACAATCGAAACACCTGCAAGGTAGCAGAGATTCTCAGCTGTCTGCTCGAAAACTTCCGGGGTCGATACGAGCTAGAATAACGGAGCTGGAAGGACTCGAACTGTTTGCTTGATTTCTCAGGATGTACGAAAACAGGAATACACCACATGCTGTACAAGAACAGTGAGTCAGTCAACTTTGACATTGATCCTTGCCATGATATATGTACAATTATGTACAATGTACACTGTACATGTGTAGGTGCTCTTGTCTATCAATACCACAACGATTCATTGAGAAACCAAAAAAAAGTATCCAAAAAAAGTTTCATTCCGGCCGACCGAGTCTCCTTTTTGAGGGGTTGCCGACCGGATCGCGGAAACAAGCCTATTTTTTGTTTTGGCCTAATTATTGTGTGTTGGAGGCAAAAAAAGGAATAATAATTAACGCAATAAATATCAATAGAGTAAGGCGCCGGTCACACATGCAGGCGGCGACACCGCTTTTGCGGCTGCCTCCAACACGCTGGCAGTGGGCGCTTTTGCGGCTCTTTTCTGCCGGCGGTCACACATGCAAAGGCTTTGGTACGCACGCAGCTTCACGGGTCTCCACAGGTGTCGTAAAACTTTTCTCTGAAAAAGACTGTAGCCTCAAAATTCCTTTCCTGCGCTGGTATGGATCGCAGAAACGCCCAGAATCGCCGACTACGTCGTGACCAGCGACTGCGTAGAGCTATGGAGATTGCCTCAATATTCATGTTGTTCAATTTCTCTTCGTTTGAATCTTGCGGAAGCTCCTTGAGCATCGGTGGACGCCTGAGTCGAGTCCCATGTCGGATGGTTGACCTCGAAATAGAGGGAGAGGAGCAGTTGCTCTTGGTCAGCAGTCCACTTCATGACGAGAGATGAAAAACTAATTTTTCCAAGATCCAAGAGATCCAACAACGACAACGCCGCAAAAGTTGCACTACCGCTTTTGTGTTTCGCCACCAATTTTTTGGTTGTGGCGCTTTTGAGATTGCCGCCGTGGCGCCAGTGGCGCCAGGCGCAGTATCCATGGTGATCCGGGGATATCCCAACTTTTGTGGTGCAGCTTTGGTGGTGTCGCAAAAGCGCCATGCATGTGTGACCGGCGCCTAAGCTGCGCACTCAGTACAAACACCATTAGCAAAACTTTGTTTTCATGTGTAATTATAACTAACTTGTTGAATGTTCCTTGAACGTTTTCGTGGCCATCTGAGCATCTCTTCAGAAGGATTACTGGCAAATCAAAATTAATTCAAAACTCAGCTAATCATTTTGATTAGCCAGTAATCCTTCTGAAGAGATGGCCACGAAAACGTTCAAGGAACAAGTTACTTAATACACATGAAAACAAGTTTTGCTAATGCCAGTAATGGTGTGTGTACTGAGTGCGTAGCTTACTCTATTTATTGCGTTAATTACATTTCTATCTCCATGTAAGCTTTTTAATAATAAAATAATAACTTTAGAACTCAGATGGTGAGCCAAGGAAAAAATTGTACATGTAACATGGAAATTGTGGTTGGTTAGCGTTGGTTAGCGCTATCGAGCAGTGCTCAAGCTGATTTTCATGTCGTGGGATGTCTCAGTACGATCGTACTCCTTGTCAGTTTTGTGCTAGATTGTGCACGTCTGACTGTTCAAAATCTGGTTTAGTTGGTGGACTCGATCGCATAACTTGTGCTCACAATTTCCATGTTTACAATAATAACTTAATTAGGATGACCCAAAGGCCTATCGTGGGGTCTGTCGCATAACACCGTACTTCCGCCCACATATAAGCGCATGGGCTTATTTAAAGTGAAATTTGCTACAAAAAGACTTTTGCTGTGTGAACATGTTCGGGTGTGCAGCCGCTATGACTGCACAAACTCCAGCCTCCGCGGCCGTCGCCATTTTTTCAAAATTGTGGCCGACGCTTTTTGAATTTTGTATGGCCGTGGTGAGCCCTCACATTGTACCTGGTTTTACAAACATGCAACAGGGCCCCAATAGAGAAGTGAGAACAGGCACACACGTGAAACCCATGTCACTTTACCATGTGCCTGTGATGGGCATGCGCCATTTCAAACACGTAACGTACAACCTGAGTACAGGATTCCAAGAAAATGCCACCCTGCATATGGGGTCTGGTGCAACGCGCTGCTTGCATTACGCAGCCACGAACTATGGGCCATTGCGTCATTAAATATCTGCTACGACATCTTGCTTCCGAATTCGCCGGCAGTGCGTCACGCCAGACCCCATCTGCAGAGTTGCATACTCTTGTGGTTTTTATGTACTAAATGTAGATAGTGGAGTATGTATACCACAGCTGAGGTCAGTGCTGCATACAACAGCTGTGATCAGTGCTGCATACAGCAGCTGTGATCAGTGCTGCATACAGCAGCTGTGGTCAGTGCTGCATACAGCAGCTGAGGTCAGTGCTGCATACAGCACCAGCACTAGCAACACAGCAGGAGTAGAGTACATCAAGCGGAGTATGCAATTCTGTGTCCACACTGCTCAAAGCCATCCCACGAACGCGTTTGAAGTTCAAGTTTGATATGTCGAAGTTTTCTGCGGAATATCACCGCCAAGCTACGCGAATTACTGGCGCAGTGTCCTCATTGACTGTCATGATGATTAAGTTTTTTTTTATTTCGCAAATCCAAACGGGAATTTCTTCCCAACAAGGTAGCGAAGAGATCAGGCATAAGAGAGGGAAGAGGTGTATGTACAAATGTGTGTATGTGTGTGTGTGGGGGGGGGGGGGTGTTTGTGTGTGTGTGCACTGGAAATGATAGACTGCTTTGGTGCGTGCGTGTGTGTTATACTTATTCCTCTTGTGCGTGTGTATGTACAGCACTGCTGTCCCCATGGTTACTGGTGCCATGTGTCCAATGGGACATGCGTGAAGAACTCACCAGACGGCTCCGTCCACACCGTCGAGATGGGCAAGCACCGCGACGCAGAGCCTTACGTCATGTCTGAAGAGGAGAAGGAGGCGCATGCTTTCGCCGACGACAGCAGTGAGCATCAGCATGAAAGACTACACCATAAAAGGCCACACCACGAAGGCCGTCATCATAACTCCCCACGGGCAAACGGCAAGGGGCGCCACAGCCACGGAAAACACAGTGTTTAGCGTTCTGCTCTCTATACAAATGTGCGGCCATTCATAACTAACGTTTATAACTTCATCTTTATCTGCCCCATTTCTCGTTGCCTCCTCCTCAGTCCTTGAACGTTCCTTTCCTTCTCGTCTCTCTTAGTTACATCATGCCAGCTTTCAGTACTCATCTTGATCAGTTGATAGATTGATTGCTGTGGTCGTGTTTGGTCATAATATTTATTTTGAGAAACAATTGGCATTGCCATATCATGGTCCTACCCATGTGCAGTGAGTGCGCACTGTGAGTGGCAACACGCGGACAGTCTACTTACTGGTGAATACCGCAGTTCCCGGGGCACAGGCGCGCCGAGCTCTACCAAAGGTGTGCTGCGCCACATAGTGATGTAGTACGCCTGCACTTGTAGCAGTGTCCAGTGGCCTCTAAAGTGCATGTTCCGCACGCCAGTTTGTAAGCGTTTCACATACACCACAGAGTAGTAGATCTACTAGCAAGAGTGCCACTTCAGGCTATTGATGTACGTGCAGGGACAGGAAAGTCGAATGGCTGAGTGCAGCTGCCAGCTATTCCACACTAGGCGCAAGTCGTGCAAGTTAAATGTACACATGCACACATGTATTACCCTTTCTTGTCCTGGCTTGGCTGAACACTCTTCCTGGTTAGGGCGTTAGTGCGTTCAGACTGCCGAGAACCCCGTCAAACCATGAATGGTGATAAACCGTGAACGACACTTAAACTACCGGCAAACCAACGTTACTTGTGCAGCTCTCGCCCCGCCACTGAGAAGGGATTTCCCCTTAACTGCCGGAATGCTGTTTCTTATTCCGCCGGAGCAGTAAACCTTTTCTGCGTGCAAAGTGCCTGTATAGTCACGTGACCAGATCACCATGGAAACTGTCCCATTCTGTCACTTGTTATCGGTAGTCTGTTGCACAATCCTTTTCAGGCAGGGTGCTGGCCATTGTGCGAGGCAGCACTCCCACATTTTACATACGCTGACCAAGTAGTCGTGCAACCTTTGTACGACTCCCTATTTTCACACAAGCACGCCAAATCAACAGTTGTCTGCATGTTGCCTATAAAACGTAGCTGTGCAGGCTTCGGACACACCGATTTTGCATTCTGGGTTTCTAGACCGTTTAGCCCTTCAGGTATTACTCAATTTAGTGCTGAAAGTTCTATGTACGCAGTCTGAATAGCGCCTGCGGCCGGCCATGCGCCATGTAAGCGCGTGAGTGTACTGTGGGGTCACGCATGCATGGCCCTGCACCAAGCTCACTGTTTCTGTGGATCTCACTACAGTCGTCCCTCTCTAATCCGGCACTTGTTTATCCGGAACCCTTGCCAACCGGCGCACTTTCTGACGAAACCGATTTTTTTCGTTCAATTCCTACATCTTAATCCGGCACTTGAATTCCGCCTCCGGCAGTGACTTTTTGAAACGAATCGCTCAAACTGCACGTAGTTTGATTTCATAATCCGGCAGTCGTAAATCGCGTACCGTACAGGTGCACTCCTTGCCAGGCCTAGGCCAGGCTAGGCTTGTCCAGGAGACAACGGCCGTCAACCATACTTTCTTATTTTAGCAAGGAGTAGTGTCCTGCCAATTTTCAGGTGTGTGCGTGTGTGTGCAAGAGTACATGTGAACATGTTCTCTGTTTTTCTTTATCACTTTATCGCTGTGTATATTCCCGGAGAACAATTGAGAATATAAAGCCGTGCACCAAATACTTCGGTCGACACGGAAAAACCCTGCGTTTTGACGTACATATGATACATGCATGCAATTGGGTAGGGCCGGGTCAGAGGGCAGGATTTCTTAATCCAGCACCCTCGTTAATCCAGCAGAAAACGCCGTAGCAAAAGGTGCCGGATTAGAGAGGGACGACTGTATCACTCGCAGCGTTAAGTGAGTACAGATTAGCTGCACGCCGTATACCATAGTGTCTTGTATTGAAGCCTGTCTCATATAGAAGCCTGTCTTGAGTACAAGCCTGACTTTTCAAGATACACTGTCGGCACAGAAGCCTGGTTTTAGTGTTGAGGTACATACAAACACCTGGTTTGAATAGGAGACTGATGTGAATAGAAGCCTAGCCCTGACATCAGCTTCTACAGGCATAAGCCCGACTTTTAATATACGCGGCATTATGCGGCATACGCGGCATTACGGTAATGCACAACCTACAGACAGGATGACGTTGGTTGCTCCGACGTGGAACACCTGCTTCCTGCCGGTCTGCATCCACAGACACCGCCCAGGTCGCTACTTCTAAGCTGCTACAGACAGTGCTCGCTCATCCAAATACACGACTACAGATGAGTTCAGTTCAGGCTGTGGGACGGTCTCGTGCCACTTTACTGTGCTACTAGCCTGCAGTCCCTACTCATTACACAGTGTTTCGGGGAATTCACCCTTCATCAGTTGAGCTTGAGTAGGCTAATGATGTTTCGCTCTCAGAGCACTGCAATATGTAGTGCTCTCCGAGCCAAAACATCACTAGGGATACCAACTTGCAGCGACGCTCCGCTTCCAGCGCGACAAACACCTCGTGAGCACCAGGCAGCAGCAGCGTGAGTCAGGGTCGCACATGGAGCTGTAAAACACATACTCTGAGGGTCGTTGACCACTCGCAACGCTGTCACTTCCGATCATCTAGTCGCAAGGCCTCGTGGGGGACATCCCTACAAATGGGATGCTCTGACTTCGGCTGTAACTGTAGAAAAAGGGTGGCTACCCCCTCTTTCTTGCCGACTTGGACTTGAATTGACACTTGCCTGACTCACGACTGCCGCCCAGAGAACACGAGAAGTCCATCGAACCTTCCATGGAGTTGGCAAGCCTGCAAGAAAGCACTACTCCCTGCTCAATACACAGTGTATGCCTTCAGGAGAATTGATAGTTTGATAGTGTTCATCAGTTGAGCAAAATGAGTAGGCAGTGTTCTAGCCAGGTGACTGAGGACTAATTAGTACGGGGAGGGGGGGGGGGGGGGGCATGGGAAAACAGTTACCCATAACTTACCCCGTCACTTTCCGATCATCTACATGTAGTCGCACGGCCATACGGGGGACAACAATACGAACTGAATTCGTTGATGCGATCTTTATTTGGTCCGCCCATTCATAAAAACTGTTCTTTTCTTTTTCTCAACCAGACGGGACCGCGTGACGCTCACAGACACCAGCACGAACATACAGTCAACTTCGCTAATAGCGACTGCGGATATAACGACAATTCGCGAATAACGACAGAATTTCCATGCCCAGAGCAAAGTCCATTCTACCTGTCTACATATGAGACTTCGGGCATAACGACACTTCGCGAATAAGGACACTTTTCTGATGCCCCGCCGCCGAGTGTGGTTATGCGCAAAGCTGACTGTACTACTACAATGTACTATATACACCCAACCTGGGGGTATATACACCCAACCTGGGGGTATATACACCCAACCTGGGGGTATATACACCCAACCTGGGGGTATATACACCCAACCTGGGGGTATATACACCCAACCTGGGGGTATATACACCCAACCTGGGGGTATATACACCCAACCTGGGGGTATATACACCGAACCTGGGGGTATATACACCCAACCTGGGGGTATATACACCCAACCTGGGGGTATATACACCGAACCTGGGGGTATATACACCCAACCTGGGTTTTCCCAACACGGTTCAAATGGTCGCAAGACCGGGACTCTGCCAACCGGGTTATGGTTGTAGTCAGGAGCACTACTCTTCCTCGCCTTGTAACATGCTGTCAAAATCGAAATACAATGTACTAGTAATACGAACTGAGATGTTGCCACTCAATGTGCTATAGCGAAAACTACCCTATAGGCGGATTGTGTTAAAGCGAGGAAATTTTGTACAGAAGTGATGCGGATTCGGCAGGGACATTTGCATTCTGTGCGTTATAGTGAGGTTTGTGTTATAGCGAGGGTTGTTATAGTGAGGTTCATGTTATAGCGAGGGTCGTTATAGCGAGGGTCGTTATAGTGAGGGTTGTTATAGCGAGGGTCGTTATAGTGAGGGTTGTTATAGCGAGGGTCGTTATAGCGAGGGTCGTTATAGCGAGGGTCGTCATAGCGAGGGTTGTTATAGCGAGGTTTGACCTGCACAACTGCAGTCTATGAGAAAAATTCCGACAAATCACTCGTCACTGACCAGTGCTGTCCGGGGTGCATAAGCAAGAGTGTGTAACTGCAGGAGAGTGAGCGCACGGCGAATGCTTTAGGCCACAGCGACTCGCTCGCCTTTCTGCATCTCCCATGCACGTTTACATCAGCATTTTCACCCCCCCCCCCCTCCAGGTATTTTCCGTTGCGCTTTGCAGCTTGCCTTACAGCAAGGCAAGAAATACAGTCATACCAATTATTTCCCGTTGTCACCTTCCAGTGACGCGGTGATTTGGCCCTGAAACTAAGGTATGCCGGGTTATCATAGATATCCTCGGATTCGTGATGACCTAGACTAAAACTTTCGCCGTGGCAGAGGTTTTATGCTGCATACTGTAAAAGCCATAAATATAACGTGCTAATTCTAACGATTTAGCGAGGAGAAATCTTTCCGTTAAAATAGAAAACGCTACACAGAAATCGCTACATATACTGTTGGTAGTGAGTGTTGAGAATGAGCGAGAATCGTTACCTTTGGTACACGTAAACCGGTCAATTTTAGGAAATCGATATTCGCGGCTCCGTTTACGTTAGAGTAATGGCTTTTCAGTAGTAGATTCGGAATTGCGCACTCTGGCTCATGTACTCTAGCTTGGTGCTAAAAGTGCCTGGCCCTGCACTCTCTTCTTCTTTTAGGCCACGCCGTTTTTTTTCTATGTTTCGCGTCACCTTAAATCAATGAGGGAGGGCGAAAAAATAAAAAGCCATCCAAAAAAAACAGTGTACGTGCATTGCATTTGTGTGCAGTGAAGCGACGCGGCACTGTTCATGTACATGAATACATGAGTGTATCCCCTCTGCCATGCTTGTGGTCCAAACACAGGCGGCGTGATGATTGTGTGACTTGCGGCCCAGCTTATTACACACACACATGTACATGTACATGTGTGTGAGCTGAGTACAATCATGCGATAAATAGAACAAAATATTTAATTGATGCCAACATAATAGTTTAATACCTGTAACAATCATGTTCGGTTTTTCTCTACATTTTCCGGTTTTCTGGGTTTGCTAAATTTGTATTACAAAAAATTTTTTGTTCCGTTTTTTTTAAACTCCGGCTGTGAAATACATGCGCGTGCGCGGGGGACGCGAAACACAAATAAAAAACGGTGTGGCCTTAGCAGTACACAATCATTACACAATCAATACTGTGTACATAATCATTACATAATCACTACACTAATCAACGCCCACTATACTGCACCACTACGTAATAGGATTGAACATCAATTCAATGCCAATGAACGTGGCGACAACCCCAGTGCAGTATCAGAGTACTCGAGTATATCGGGCTCTAGTGATTTATCGGATTTGTTTCTGGCATTGGATAGTCAGTATGGACTGTCCGATAGGACAGTACTGGTAATTTACAAACAGATTTCAATCTCACCACTTTAGGTAGCTGACGACAGTAATCCTCCATCAGCCTCGTGTCCAATGTCCGCTCAATAGTAGAATAGTTCTTAGTAGTAGCAGAGTTTATTATTTTGAGTAGGGAAGACCATACAGACGCTGCCGTCTTGTTACTGGGTACAGGGAGCCCTTGTCCTCACAAAAACAGGTCTTCAAAGGTACAAGTACAATCATGTACAAGCTACAAGTAGGCTCGATCGATCGCTCGTGCGAAAACTCCAGATAAAAATAATTGCACAAAAATACTCTCGATCGCGCGCGCGACGCTCATGACTCATGTAATGCATGCATGATCTGAGCTCATCATGTCAGCAAGAGTATAATAAAAAAAAGATAAACAGACAGTACTCTCATGCTACTGTAGAAGGCTGCCAGATACGTGGAGTTACGGGGGGGGGGGGGGGTCGCGAATAATAATGGAAAAATCAAGATCAATCATCATGCTACGCAAGTACATGCATGTACATGTAAAAGAAGAAGAAAAAGGCCTACAAAAAGGCCGATTCATACTTCATTTCGCGTATACCAGGTATACGGGAAACGCATCGCGTTGCGACTCGGAAAAAGTTGATCGCCATTGTCGTCATGGAAAATATTAATGGAACATAGGATCAGAAGTGGCATTCTGCTGCGGCCAGCACAGCGGGAATGTCAGCCAAAGCTCGGTTAGATTCCAGTAGGCCGCATGATGTCCACGGAGGATAGCATTTGCTGAGCGGACAAGAGAGAAGGAGACCCTTGACCTGATCCAGGCCAGTACGGTGGAATAGGGCTCTTTTCTCTTGTCCGAAAGCACACCGTGAGACAACTCTGTTGTAGAGCGCAGAAGCCGCTTTCCCGAATCCTCCAGATGCACTCAAGACTACCGGCACAAATGACGCGTGCTCAATTTCACGGATTCGTTCCTCATACGAGCGCCTCTTCTCAGCTTCGTGTTTTCGGTATCTCGTAGCTGGAAGTGACTGCTAGCGGTTGGAACGTGCACGAGGGTTGAAGACGCAGATATCTAGGAACGTCTTTTAGAAATGCCCACCCCATATGCTGGATGCAGCTGTCACGGTGCCGATAACTTGCGCTTGCCGGAACGAACGCCCAACAAGCCACCAAGGGGCAGCCTCCATTTGAGGGCTTCTGCAGCGCCCTCCACCGTCCGGCAGAGAAACGGCCATTTTCTCTGCAACCCATACACTAAAGCATGGTAGGCTGCGGCTGCGGCTGCGGCTCAGCAAACTCACACACAACTTGTTCACCTGCCTGAGTAATCTACTCTCACTGTCAACCAGGTATTCCTCGACGAACGGAGCAGTGACGAGGGCTGCGTCAAGATGCCGACAGTCATCCATCCTCACTTGAACGCTGGTGTCTGCGGATAGATCAAGCGTTGCATGATATCTGTCCGGCTTCACCACAAGTATCAACTTGGCTTCAAATGATACCCATAGCTTCCCCCAAGGCTGCACAGGGAGTACCACACCGCACGAACTGCCGGCAATCGGCCTGCTCCGGAAGAATCATCCGCAAACCATGTTTGGATGGTGTCAGCCATTGAGATGCCCTCAATCAACGTCAGCACCCCCAGCCCATACATGGCCTTTGATAAGGGATCTCCTTGCGTGATACCATCTGACGACTGCACAATCCCACCATCAACATACAGACGGACGGGACTACGGTATGTGTTGATGACCGCGGTAGAGAGAGAAGGGCATGAATGACGAAGGGAATGAACTTCCGGCGAGTGAAAGACACCACACATTGCATGAACTACGGCCTCGTCACCGCATTTCTGTCCGGCACAAAGCTGAATAGAATCTGCCACTTCTTGGATTTTTATTGCCGGGCACAATGACACCCATAATCGCTTTCCCGATTATGTGTCGCATTACCTCGCCTATCCCGATGGGCCTTACGCCTGGATTTTTGTCCAGAGGAATACGCCTGCAAGTGGTGTAGGCTTCTAAACTGACTGGATCAAGCCGCAGTGGTGGATTGTTCTGCACTCATGAAGGAGCTCCCGAACCTCGCCCCGGTTCCATAACTCCATACGACGTTTTAAACATGCTGCTGCAGAGTCGAGCCTCATGCCACATGGCTTCTGTAACAAGAGCTGTTGATATACCATCGACGACCTTTGTAGCAATTTCTTCGTAAGGCCCGGCACGACTGAAATAGGATAGGCAAGTTGTTACTTGTGTCACGAAAGAGTTACCTACACCTCCTGTTGGTACTTGCACTACTTGGAAAGCATTGGGGGCGAAAATGAACAAGTTCATCATAAGTGTTCTGAATCAATTCAATTGAACAGGTGTTAGTTAGACCACTTATGATGAAACCACCGAAAGTTGCTTCCGGGTGCTGTGGCAAATCCGCGGTCCGCCGTTCATCCTGGCTTGATGTCAGACTCGGAGGGCGTACAAGCCAAACGTAGAGCAGAACCGAGGGACTGCGACGCCGGGTTGCAACACAATTACAAGGCTTCTCCAGGGGTTGCGCTACACGGAGCATATTTGCGCCAGACACCATGTCATGACAGCATGCTGGTTGCCGTGGGAGCAAATCATCAGGCACCATAGGAGGCGAATCCACCAAGGACGGCGCTGCCGCGACGGAAGCAGAGTCACGACTGGCAGACTCAGCAAGCATTGAATTAATTATTTAGAAAAGCGATCCTGTCAGCTTTTCTATTATTGTGTTCACATGGCGCTACCTAACGACACCGCTATTCAGACACGTTGTCTACGTAGCTACGTAAGTTTCTACGTAAGATGCTCGGTACCTGGTCCTGGACCAGGGAGCTACTCCACGGCTCCTACCATCGCGCGGCCGGCTGGCCACATGCGTGTGCATTGCAGACTTTTTGTTGTTGCCTTTTCGGATGTGCATGCACGAGGAACTTTGGAACTGCTTCTTGCATGAGCTGTTTCGGATATTTCGTCTCCTGGCCTGGCTTATTTCGTTTCGGCGCTGCTGTGACCTCCTTTCGCGGAATATTACTCAATGACAGGTGAGTTGACCAGTTCCCTTTGATTCATTTGCTTGTGTTGACTCTTTCATTTACGAAAAGTGTGCTGACTTTGGGCGGAATGCAATAAATAATGGAAAAGCTGACAGGATCTCCTTTCTAAATTTAGCTTTTCCGCTGCCGAGGCCTCCTTTTACGGAATACTCAATGACAGGTGATCTCTGAGTTGACCGGTTTCCTTCGATTCATTTGCTTATGCTCACCCTTTCATTTACGGAAACGTGTGCTGATTTTATTCGGATTTAGATCCATTTTTATCTCTTTGCCCTTGCCTACAGTGTGCGAAGAGGCGAGTTCACCTTCTTGACGGTAAGGCTTATGTTATATGTGTTGTCAAAATACTCATATTCATTGCACATTAGTTCGTTACAAGTAAGGCACTGGTCAGTGGCATACTATCGTTGGCAGTTCCCAATCTGGAAGGGAAAGGTTCAAGGACTCATTGACCGAGTTTGCCAAATAAATTCGCATATCAGGGAAAATCTCCATTGTGGAGAGGTTCAGTAACTTGTTTGCTTCATACGAAACAAGCCAATAGGTGCAGTCTCGTCTCGTGAAAATCTCGTACTTGTATGATTGGACTTGTTTACTCGAGTCTGGGCTGTTTGATTTGTGAGTAGCGCCGAGATTGCACTGCCCCAAATAAAGTTGCGTGCCGGCAGAGCAAGAATTACGATCTGCAATCTGTTTGTAGCACCTGTAGTACCTGCAAGAATGTGCAGTAGATGTATCGTACTTTCTCTGTTGCTGTTTCAGTTGCCGTCATGTTGCTAAAGAAAGGTTCAGTAGAGAGGTTCTGCAAAGCGAAAATTCGAACGAAGTTTCGCGACATTCCTTGCGAAAGCGTGTACGAATTTTTGCACGAACTTTGCGTTCTGTACATTTTCGTAGTTTGCGCGGGCTAGGCACGTACACCATGACCCGATCTCACGAAATTTCCTACGACAGTTCATTTCGCGTTCCTTGCAAGTTTCGCGTCCAAAGTTGCGAAAGTTCGTGCGAAGTTTCGCACTTCATGATGTAGAGCAAAAGTGTGTACGCATTTTCGTTTTGCAGAACCTCTCTAGTGACTCTTTTGTTTCATACGAGACGAGTCAATGAGTTGGTGTGGCTTAGAATCTTTCGCTGTAGAAGAAATCTATTTGTTTGTCTATTGGAGAAATAATTGTATTCACTGGTTATAAAATAGGTTAAGACAAATTCACAGAATAAATACAATCGGTCCCTTGGTGTTCGTCCTAAAAAGGTTCGACTGAATATCATTCATACTCACCAAAATATATGTAAGATTTTATTATCATGGAGTGCCTTATTTATCTCTCAGTATTAGTACCTCCAACCATAGCCTTGACCCTTTTATCCTCAGGATCAGTGTAGTTGTTGGAACGAGGTGTCGGCCTTAGCAATGTATTTGTTTACATTTTAATACATGTTTATTGTTCCTCCTTTGCTGTGTTGTTTTAGAAAATCGTGGACTAACAGTTTGAAGTCATTGAACTACTTCCAAAAGTTGTATCGACATCAACAGGATTACGATTTCAGTGCAATATGATGCTGGATGACCAGTACCTATCGTGGGGTCCGTCGCATTGAAGGATTATTATTATTGATATAGGGCATTCCATTGATTGGTGACAGAAAAAAACAAAAGAAATTATAGCAATAAAAACTGCTTTAGGGCAGTTTTCTAAAAAAAGTTATTGTGTTCTAGTCCATGGACCATGGACCCCGTCTAAAAAGTAAGAAATTAACGAAATGTGATAGCTGAAAATTAAAATTTCACACAAAACCTCACAATAATCACACACAGAATTAAAAGCTACATGTAGAAGACCTTTTCCCCTCGTGATCCTCTTTCCTATGCATGCATGTTGCCAATTGTTGGTGCAGTACGAGGTGATTCGCAATTTTTGGACATGTCGCAATTTTTGGACAAATCAGTTAAATATGGAAGTAGAGTCCCCCTGAGTCGTTGTCCTTTCCTTGGTGGACAAATCTTTGACAAGAGTGTCTTCGTGTGGTCCTCAAGTTTCTTCGTGCCAATTTTTAGCGGTGAAGGCCGTTTCTTTCTGGGCGTTTTCTTTATTATTCTTAGGTAATGTAATGAGTAATTTTGAAAATTTCGATTAAATAATAAATGATTGAGGATTCCGTTGACTCTACGTCGCATAACGGAGAGAATGTCGACATGGGGGATGTTGTATCCCTTCCATCAACTCCAGGGACTACGTATTCCAGCTCAAATCCGCCTGGAAGAGTCTCCTCGCCTTCTCAACCGGTGCGTTTGTGGAGGGGTTCTGGTCAGGAGAAATCTCTTTTAGCAGTGCGAGCGTTCCACTCACCTGGCACCAGTGAACACTTCCTAACCAAGAAGGACGCAGCGGCTAGTTACGGAGCTAGCCCTCCACTCTTTGCGAAATATGAGAAGGAGATGGGCCACACTGGAGTGCTCTCCTCTGTTCTTGAATATGACGTCCATGAAAACCCTTGAGTGACCCTTTAAATTGTGTGTCACATTGAAAAGCCTTGAAAAGCTTGCTATGAACGGCCTGTCATTAGAACTCATATCAGCTGGTCTCATAGGCATAGCCTTACCCCATGTTCATGTCCTGTGCAAGTTTTACTCGTTCACACCATTGCAGACTGCTGCTAGATGCTATTTAATTTAGTTGTCCAATAATTGCTCGCATTGAAAAAGCAGTAGAAAAAGACACCTTCAATCAGGTCAAGTTGTAGCCGCATGCTTCAACTCTATGCCTTCAGGTGTGTGTGGTGGTGGTAAAGCATAAGTGTGCCAGTAGAAAGGCAAGAAAGAAATTTAATTTATCTTACAAACCAACATAATGGGGTGCTATTTAATTTGAGTGTCCAAAAATAGCAAATGACCTCGTACAAGTTAAAGTTGAAAGCAGCATTTCAAGTGTTGTGATTATTGTGAGGTTTTGTGTGAAATTTTAATTTTCAGCTATCACATTTCGTTAATTTCTTACTTTTTAGACGGGGTCCATGGTCCATGGACTAGAACACAATAACTTTTTTTAGAAAACTGCCCTAAAGCAGTTTTTATTGCTATAATAATCATGGGTAGGGCAACGCACAGAACCAGCCGCCTGAACAGCAACGTCCCACACATCACCCACTCGGCCAATCTGCCTGTTAGACGTACATGTTTTTTTTTTTTTTTTTTTTTGTTTTTTATGTATTACTTTGGTTATGATGCATGTACAAGTAGTGCGATCTCAAATCAGATGATGGGTGATCTCAAATCAGATGATGGGTGATCTCAAATCAGATGATGGGTGATCTCAAATCAGATGATGGGTGATCTCAAATCAGATGATGGGTGAGTGCATGGCACATCCTTTCCAGCACACGAGCTTCCAGCAATCCGTGACTCCAAAGTCCGGGGAACCCAACCAGGAGGCGCAGCAGGAGGCGCAGCAGGAGGCGCAGAAGGGACATGAGCATCACCAACAACAATACACCCATGTAGTTCGAAGATCAGAATTGCCAAAATTTCGACAGCGATTGTCTCGACCAGGGCCACAATTCTCACAGCATCTTCCCGCAGCAGCACAAGAGCAGGAGTGACAAGTGCCCCTGCTACATACCGCTACATAAGCAACATGGGCGAGTGCCACGAACCAGCGACATCCTCGCTGCTGATCACCACCGCATCCAGTTGACTAAATCACCATCCACAGCATCAGCACACTGTCCGCATGATCCGGGTACCCGCATCGAACCGCAAAGCGCAAGTGTAGCGAAGCCGGGACCTGCACCGTCGTCTGTAGCGAGGTACTAGGTGTGACCAGAAATATAGCCAAGCCTGCATGTACATGTAGATGTAGCGAAGCCTGTACCCGGACCGTCGTCCGTAGATCTACTCCGTAGCGAGCGATCATGCTGTAGAGCATGCAGATTCTTCAATCTTGTGCCTGTTGCATTGTAGTCTAGTACTTGTGTCAATTTGTAGTCTGTTTAAGGCTCAGTCTGGAAAAGCTTGTAGGACAGCTCACGTAGTCAATGTAGCCTTTGTCACAGCTCAGTTCGTAGGTGAATTAGTATTTGATTCGGTCATGCATGGCGTTGAACCGCTCTATGAGCTCCATAAGGCGGTATCTGGTTGGTTTATGGTTGGTTGGTTGGTTTATTTTAATTCGCACAATAAACGGGAACTAGGCCCAATGATATAAAGGCGAATGGATAAGCCGCATTTCGAACAGAGAGGACAGGAATTAGAAAATTACGCCAAGAAAGAAGAAGTATCTGACAGAGGAGTCAAGCGAGTATCAGGGGTGACAGGGTGGTCGAGGAGAGCTAGGGCCTCTCTGAGCAACAACATGGTAGGCAACATATGCCATACTTTTTCTGTCTTGCTATGGTCCGAACGTCATCGGGCAGCAGGTTCCAGAGTGCAGATCCTGCGACGGATGGCCGAGAAGCGCCAGAGCGAGTGGAGGATGGCTGACTGAGCAGACCACTGGACCTCTGATGACGGGTTCTCCTGCCAGTAGATCTGACGAACAGTACAGACAACGTGGCACTAGCTTTCCCGTGAAGGCACCTCCAGACAAACAAGAGTAGCTTGCGCTTGCTGAGTTCGCCTATCCGGTACAAGCCGTGCTGCACCAGCACTGGCAGTAGGGGATTCACGGTTGTGTACAGTGTAGGATGGGTTGCCATCGATAGCTCGGATAGCCCTGTTCTGTAGCAGACCCAGGCGATCAAGCTGGCGACCAAGGAGCGCGGGGAAGAAGGCATTACTGCCATAGACTATGTCAGGGATGACAACAGCCTGGACGAAGAGACGCCGTGCATTTTGTATAATTTAATTTATTTAAAGGATTCCCCGGAGGCCGTTTAGGCCTATCGAGGGGTCTCCATTCTGTACAGTTAGGATGGGAATATGAGAATACAAAGTGAGCAGAGACTGGGGAGAAATAACACGATGAATAGAACAACTGGGAGTGAGCAAATCAATGAGGAAAACAAGGAATATCAGTGAATACCTTTGCAGTTAAATTGAAACTTAGCCATACTATTATGCAGTTCTCTTTTAAACTCAGCAATTTTATGATGGAGGTTATAGTAGGGGGCAGACAGTTCCACAGAGTGCCTGCCTGAAACAGAAACATAGAAGATAGTATGCGGCCATGACTATGGAAGACTAGTTTGTTCGGACGGCGCTCACTTTTAGTAACGGTAATGTGGAACATTGCGAGGTAATTAGGGTGCGAATGGACGTATCTAAATCAAAAATTTAATATTAAATAATAATATAAAATTAATAATACCCAATGCTGTAGACAGCAAGCTGTTTCGGCCATAAAGGCCTCATCAGTACAGCTACGAGCTAAATAGGCCGAGCTACCAGCCATGGTGCATAAATAATAATAATCTAAAGAGGGTGACCAGTGAAAGAAACTGGTGCAGATCGGGATACGGAGCGACAGTCTCGCCACAGCGCACCAATCTTACGGGTAGTCTTGCCGACAATTCGGTCGACTTGAGCGTCCCATGAAAGCTTACTATCAAGTACAACACCGAGGTATGTGGTAGTCGATGCTGTTGGAACGGCTACTCCACGACACTGGACAGTTAGGAGAGGGTTGTGGTGAGGAAGAAAGGTCACAGCACGGCTTTTGGTAGGGTTGAGGACAAGGCCCCTCGCCTGTAGCCAAACAGCTAGGTTGGTGACTGCCGTCGTTAGCGTATCAGAGACAGCCCCAACAGAACTCTGCAAGGAATACAATGCTATGTCGTCCGCAAACTGGATGCTGGGTACAGGGTGCAGGACGGAGGGGACGTCGCGGGTGTAAATGGAAAATAGAACAGGACCTAGCACAGATCCTTGTGGTACCCCACACGTGCAGGGAGTGGCCTGACTCGTGGTTGGCCCAATGCAGACCATCTGCTCTCGCGCAGTTAGGTAGCTGGCAAACCAGGTGAGGGCTGATCCGCACACACCCACGTCAAACAGATCGACAATGAGCTATGTGTAGCGGACTTTGTCGAATGCTTTGGACATATCCAATGTGCATAGTCACATTTCCCCTGTCCTTGGCAGCGAAGAGACTGTCAGTGAGAAGGCAGAGGGCATCCTCAGTGGAGTGGTGCTGACGGTAGGCAAATTGGGTAGTAGGGAGGCACTGGTTGGTTCGAAGGTGGCGGACAAGTTGGCGCTGGACGATCCTTTCTTTTCATTTACTTTTCATTCGTACAGCTCTATCTTTTGTTTTCGGTGCGTATTTTTGGCCGTGATGCCGAGACCTCAGGTCGGCAGAGCCATCAATGCCCCACCATCACTGCTGCGTCTCGGTGCAGCCCCTGCTCAATAGTTGTCACGTTCGTCCTAGTCTCAGTATCATGGTCTTTCTTTATTATTTTCGAGCTGGGAATGTGAACATAGTAAAAAAATCTTCTCAAGTAGTTTAGAGATAGTATAGTATAGTGAGTGTGTGTGTGGGTGGGGGGGTGTGGGTGGGGGGGGGGTGTGGGTGGGGGGGGGGGGGAGGAAGGGTTGAACCTGAATACTGCTAGCTATTTTCGAGTCTCCGACGATCGCTGGACCAAGCGCCAAACTTGTGCAGCTTATTGATAAGATAGTCCAGAGCATACTGCGACTGCGGTGAAATATAATGAAACGAAACCGCCAGTTCAGAGCAGCAGCCGGGGCCCTCGTTTTCCTCGGACTTGCCCGCGGAGTGCGTCAGCACCCATTTGTATTTTGAACTGGCTACAGCGCCGGGTGTGAGGTGCATCTCTGGACTGAGGGGCAAGATCCGGCTCTTTGCAGCGTCCCGGCTGTCTGAGATGTTGACGCCAGCTGATTTAAGGCACAGAGAAACCAGCTGGTCCTCGCTTGGTATGCGATCGTTCATCATGCAGCCCTTTCCGATTTGCTCCCTCAGCTTACCCAGAGCTGCTCTGTTGAGGACATATCCTGCACCGCCAGATACCCACTCCAAACTGCCGTCCGGGGTTCGCAGATGTTTTCCCAAGAAACGTGGCTGCGCGGTACTCCTTGTGTACAGCATGAACTTGAGATTCTCCACCACCGTATAGGTGTCATCATCACACTTATAGAACCAGTCATACGCCGCTCGGTGCACCTCATACACGTACTTCCAGGCTTCGCGAGACTTCGCCACCAGAGCAGCACGTCCTTCTGTCACACCCGGCAGAGATACTCGACCTGGAAGAAGTGTCCTGTCTTTACCACTAGTCATGAATAGCAGTCGATCACATCGCCTGCCCCAGGTCGCCAAGATAGCAGACCCTTTGATGGCGATCGTGCGACTTCCAGTCAACACCCAACATAGTACCCGAACATTCAGTACTTTCTGCACCTGCCGGCTGCTGGCTTTCTCCTCGCCGGTACGAAGGACTCCCGCGACCTCTTCAGCGCGTTTCCTAAATCCGTTTTCGTCTTGGACTCGACTTGATTGCCACGTCGAAGACAGATACGAGCTGCAGGAAAGCAGCAACGTGATGCCAATGCACAGTGCCACCGAAGTACGACACCACTCATGTACAGCCGGAGACATTCTCCACCAAAATAAAACCCGTCCTCGGCCTGGCGTTGAGCGACGGGTACGAGCTCATGCAACAAGCTACCAGGCTGGTGAACAAAGCTCTTCTCAGTCTCGCATCCTCTCGAGCTGGCTCGTTGGCTGTTATATTTTCAATTATTTTTGTAGTTTGAGTTTGAATGAGAGTTTTGAAATGCCATACTCACGAGATCGATCGAGAAGACAGAGTTTACATCTGGGAGTACGAGACTGACTCCATCCGAACGCAGGAGCGGATAGCTATCTCTGAAGCCAGGAACGCACTCCGAGCAGATGCCACACTCATCTCAGCCACCCTCGACACCGACCAGCAACGTGTCATCGAGCTTGCCTCCGAGAAGGGTGCATCGAGCTGGCTGACGTGCAGGCCTCTGGCGCGCCATGGCTTCTCCCTCAGCAAGGGTGAATTTCGGGACGGTGTATACCTCCGCTAAAACTGGCTGCCAGCCCGCCTGCCATCGGATTGCCCTTGTGGTGCCAAGTTCACCACCTGTCATGCCCTTTCATGCCCCACAGGTCGGGTACCTTCCATCCGCCACAATGAGGTGCGCGACATCACCGCAAATTTGCTGAAGAAGGTGGCGTACAATGTGGCAGTGGAGCCTCACCTCCAGCCGGTAACCGGAGAGCAATTTCACCTTCGCTCCGCCAATGTTCAGGAACAGGCCCGCCAGGATGTAGCTGCCAGTGGCCTTTGGGGTGGCCGATTTGAGCGCACGTTTATTGATGTCAGGGTGTTTAACCCATGTGCGTCCTCAAATCGAGCCACGTCACTGGCCTCCACCTACACTCGGCAGGAGAAGGAGAAGTGCAGGGCTTATGAGCAACGTGTGCGTGATATCGAACATACATCGTTTGTTCCAGCAGTCTTTGCCACAACGGGTGGGATGAGTCGGCATTGCAATGCACTGTACAAGAGGATAGGCCTCGACCAAATATGCTAAAAAATAGAGCATATTATGCTCGTCGCATATCAAGGAAAACGTCCATAATAATTATGCCAAAGGCTTAGCAAGATATGCAAAAAAGATATGCCAAAATATGGCAAAATATGCTCGACATAAGCAGAAAGTGTAGATCATTTCAGTAAAATTGCAACCTTGGATTATTCATTGGCTTCACGGCTATCATGCTTATGGTGCAAATCAAAACACATGCGGAATAGTATGGCTGGGTCATATGGGGTGTGTCCCCAGCAACCGTAACGATAGTGTTCATCCATGGGGAAATGTAGCAAACGCCTCTACCCGGATGATTCCAAATTCATCCATAAAAGGCATTTCTGAACGCATTTTGACCATAATATGAATGTTTTGTCCTCATTTTCTTCAGAATATTTGAATTATATGCTGGCTTCATTCCAATATTCCCTTCTTTGTCGCTCAATATGCCATAATATTATATGAACTGTCCCACAAAATATGCGGAAAAATGCGCAAGCATAATTTGGTCGAGGTCTACAAGAGGATTGCCTGCCTGCTTGCTGATAAAACCAGCGAGCCTTACAGCACCGTCATGGCATGGGTCCGCTGTAGACTCAGCTTTGCCCTCCTCCGTGCTAGTGTGATGTGCCTCCGTGGATCCCACACTCTGCGCGCCCCTGTTGGCTCCAACTCCCCTGCCTCGCTTGTTGCAGCCGCGTGGAGTGAGGCAGTGATCCCAGGACACTAATCATTTACTTTGTTATTATTATCAGGCTGTTTTCGGTTTGTTATGATTTCTTGGTTTTCTATTAGACTGTTTTCACGGCCATTCAAGCTCTCTCGACTGTGTTCACAGCCATTTTTAATTTTTCTGAATTTTGCCCATTTTCGGTCGAATTCCAAGGTTTCAGTAAAAAAATCAACAAAATCAGTACGAGTAGTACAAATACAATACCAGGGAGTAGTACAATACGGTATTGTACTACTCCCTCGGGTTTTTTTGGGTTTTTTTTTACTGTTATCTACTAATTTTATTGAAACAAAGAAAAACGGTGGCACCTATGTCAGGGGATGGCGCCCACGCCTGGTATAAAGTAAAACGTAAAAGAGAAAAAAAGAAAAAGAAAAAAGTAGTAGAGCACACGGGGTCGCCGTGGTAACCAAAGAGAGAGAAGAAGGAAAAGAAAAGATAAGAAAGAAAGAAAGAGAGGTAAGCAACTCCATGTACATCAACAGTACTTGTGTCATACGCTTACAATGAACACTCAGCAGCCGCCAGAACAGCGGAGTGAACAGGAAGTGGCACTGAAGAGCGCCGGTAGCCGCGCAGACTAGCAACCATGGCTAGGGTCCAGCGGATAATGCTCCGAAAATGTTCGTATAATGCTAATCACAATGCTCCAAAAACTACCTCACAATGCTGATTATAATGCTTCAACAAGGGCTATAATGCTCTTGTTTTGGAACAAAAATTGAAGAAAGGCTCCACATTATCAAACTTCCAGCAAAGGATGCATATAGTCCATCTGCCTCTGAAGCTGCTACAATATCTCTCACCAGCTCCACCACTTCTTAGCGCTATAAGACATGATCGCGTCTCCATTGGCTGCTCTCCATTGAAACTTTGATGCAGGGCAAATCTTTTCCCTTGCTTATACATGCAGTGATAAACCCTATCGGGTAAACCCTATCGGTTTATTGGGTGTTAGCGGCCGTCGTGAGTTCCCTTCGGGAACGGACACGATAATTTACTTTTTTTACTTTTACTTTACATGCAGTGAGAGGTGAGACCATTATTGCTGGTTATCATTTGGATGCCCAAAGCTTGTCATGGGAAGCGATATACCGGCCTGCAGACAAGCCGTCACTGCTTCCACTCTGTGACAAAACGTCTTCATCAAAAACAGCTCACGTGAGGCTAGTTCCTGAGAGACGATCTCAGATCGAGATCCCTCCCATTTGCAGAAATCCTGAACACACGTGGGCAGAAGTTATTTTGCCGCTCTACATCCTCTGCTTGCGCTGTCTTCTTCTCCTGAGGTTGCGTGGAGACAAATGGTTGGCCACCATACTCTTCTTTTCTGATAGTACTTGACTGTAGGCATTGCCTTGCATTACAATCGTCCACGACGAACTGTACGTGCTTCACCAGGAAAGTAAGACATGCGCTGCTGAGCACTCAAATCGACTTGGTACTGCGTCCATGAGAAATTATAGTTCTTTTCGGCGAGGTAGTTACTTGGAAAAACTCTTTCTGTTTATACCCGCTCCTTCATCCAGGTCCAAATTTATCAATGGATCAGTGTTTACTTCAGTATCGCTAGAGATGCTATGACCAAGAGTCTACGGCATAACACATTTTGGAGGAAAACTCCTCTTCGTCTGTTTGATATTCACTTTGCGTACGTCTATAATAGTTTCCTCCATGCATGGCTCTCCATGATTTCTAAAAAAGAACTCCTCGTGAATCATCGTTACGGATTTTGTGTAACAGCCTCAGTTGCAACGTTTAGTTGGGCATGCTACACCACAAAGTCATGTACATTTACCTGACTACACAGCATTGCTACATAAAGCCTTTAACAGGCTTTATGTAGCAATGGCATGATGTAGTCCGGTAAATGTAGCATTAGTGCTAAAGGTGTTTCGAGTCTACTGTCCACACAAAGTCATGTGCCGGTACAATACATGGCGTTGCACCTCATGGCGTTAGCCGATTGTTGCCAAAAACCTGAGATTTCTCGACATTATCCACTATGAAACTCGTTATACCTCACATAATGCTCGTCTTGTTCCCTTCTAATGCCCCATAATGCTCTGATGCTCGGAGAATCTCATAATGCCGAATATAATGCCGGCTATTATTGACGTACGCGAAGTGAATATCAAACAGACGAAGAGGAGTTTTCCTCCAAAATGTGTTATGCCGTAGACTCTTGGTCATAGCATCTCTAGCGATACTGAAGTAAACACTGATCCATTGATAAATTTGGACCTGGATGAAAGAGCGGCTATAAACAGAAAGAGTTTTTCCAAATAACTACCTCGAAAAGAACTAGAATTTCTCATGGACGCAGTACCAAGTCGATTTGAGTGCTCAGCAGCGCATGTCTTACTTACCTGGTGAAGCACGTACAGTTCGTCGTGGACGATTGTAATGCAAGGCAATGTCACAGTCAAGTGCTATCAGAAAAGAAGAGTATGGTGGCCAACCATTTGTCTCCACGCAACCTCAGGAGAAGAAGACAGCGCAAGCAGAGGATGTAGAGCGGCAAAATAACTTCTGACCACGTGTGTTCAGGATTTCTGCAAATGGGAGGGATCTCGATCTGAGATCGTCTCTCAGGAACTAGCCTCACGTGAGCTGTTTTTGATGAAGACGTTTTGTCACAGAGTGGAAGCAGTGACGGCTTGTCTGCAGGCCGGTATATCGCTTCCCATGACAAGCTTTGGGCATCCAAATGATAACCAGCAATAATGGTTTCACCTCTCACTGCATGTATAAGCAAGGGAAAAGATTTGCCCTGCATCAAAGTTTCAATGGAGAGCAGCCAATGGAGACGCGATCATGTCTTATAGCGCTAAGAAGTGGTGGAGCTGGTGAGAGATATTGTAGCAGCTTCAGAGGCAGATGGACTATATGCATCCTTTGCTGGAAGTTTGATAATGTGGAGCCTTTCTTCAATTTTTGTTCCAAAACAAGAGCATTATAGCCCTTGTTGAAGCATTATAATCAGCATTGTGAGGTAGTTTTTGGAGCATTGTGATTAGCATTATACGAACATTTTCGGAGCATTATCTGCTGGACCCTAATCCCAGATCGAGATCCCTCCCAATCGCGGAAATCCTGAGAACACGTGATCAGAAGCTATTTTGCCGCTCTACATCCTCTGCTTGCGCTGTCTTCTTCACCTGAGGTTGCGTGGAGACAAATGGTTGGCCACAATACTCTTCTTTTCTGATAGCACTTGACTGTAGGCCTTGCATTATAATCGTCCACGACGAACTGTACGTGCTTCACCAGGAAAGTAAGATACTCGCTGCTGAGCACTCAGATCGACTTAGTACTGCGTCCATGAGAAATTCTAGTTCTTTTTGAGCCTGCTGAGCTGGACTCGTCAAAGGCAGTTATTTGGAACAAGCTGTTTCTGTTTATAGCCGCTCCTTCACCCAGGTCCAAATTTATCAATGGATCAGTGTTTACTTCAGTACCGCTAAAGATGCCATGGCCAGAGCCTATGGCCAGAACCTATGGCTTAATAGGAAACTCTTCTTCGTCTGTTTTCATATTCACTTCGCGTACATCTAGTCTCCTCCATAGGCGCCGGCGGATTATGCCGGCATAATTATTGGCATAATTTGGTGGTTGAAAATTTGGAGCATAATTTGGCATCCTTTTGGATGTAGGAGAATAACTACATGATTGTACCACCGTTCTAGTATGTAGGCTACACAATTGTGTATACTGCACCTGATCCGTGCTGGTGGTCTGCATGGTAAAGGGTTCGGAGGTCAAGCAGATAGTGTTTTCAATGAAAAACAGGGTAGAAATCATGGCAATACAGTATTGTATGTTCAGGCTCGTCTTCTTCAAAGCTCTTTCTCACACTGATACAGTACAAGTAGCAGGATATGCGAGTGAATCCGTCTTTATCAGGTATCCCGGGGCGGACGAGATACTAGTAGTGACGGGTAGTCCGCAAACCTCCGCGTACATGTACCGGTACATTATGCATGTTACGAAGTCATGACCTCTGGATTTTGCATATTGCTCTAATAATTCTCATGATAAATTGAGGTCTAGTTGGTGTCCGGTCATGATGGAAGGAGAGGTGGAGCTACTGGAGAGAGGAGCTGATTATTCGCAGGGTGAGGCCACTGAGGGTGACATCGGTTGGACAAGTATAACGACTTGATTACGAAGACAGTTGAACATGACAATAAGGTAACTCAAACTTATTTTGGCAATAAAAAAATCTTTTACAGAAGACGTCAACTAATGAATAGAAGAAGTAATGTTTTCTCCTTTCCATGTTGATCTCTAGCATGCATGGACACCTTGGTATGGGAATACTCATGTAACATTTTGTTGTACTTATGGCCACTTGCAAGTACGGAAAGGCACAATTTTCCGAACTTTGAAGCGTCATAAGTACAACAAAGTGAATAAGAATCCCGGCATCCCAAAGCATAATATGAGGATTTTGCGAGCATAATGCGAGAATCCATGAAAGCATAATTCCATGATTTCGCGAGCATAATCCGCCGGAGCCTAAGGCGCCGGTCACACATGCAGGCGGCGACACCGCTTTTGCGGCTGCCTCCAACACGCTGGCAGTGGGCGCTTTTGCGGCTCTTTTCTGCCGGCGGTCACACATGCAAAGGCTTTGGTACGCACGCAGCTTCACGGGTCTCCACAGGTGTCGTAAAACTTTTCTCTGAAAAAGACTGTAGCCTCAAAATTCTTCAGGAAGTTACCTGCTTTGTTGCATTTTGACTGAATTGGCTGTTTCATTTTTAATTCCTATCACTGTTGTCTTTCCTTTCCTGCGCTGGTATGGATCGCAGAAACGCCCAGAATCGCCGACAACGTCGTGACCAGCGACTGCGCAGAGCTATGGAGATTGCCTCAATATTCATGTTGTTCAATTTCTCTTCGTTTGAATCTTGCGGAAGCTCCTTGAGCATCGGTGGACGCCTGAGTCGAGTCCCATGTCGGATGGGACTCGACTCAGGTGTCATGGTGTCTTGACCTCGAAATAGAGGGAGAGGAGCAGTTGCTCTTGGTCAGCAGTCCACTTCATGACGAGAGATGAAAAACTAATTTTTCCAAGATCCAAGAGATCCAACAACGACAACGCCGCAAAAGTTGCACTACCACTTTTGTGTTTCGCCACGAATTTTTTGGTTGTGGCGCTTTTGAGATTGCCGCCGTGGCGCCAGTGGCGCCAGGCGCAGTATCCATGGTGATCCAGGGATATCCCAACTTTTGTGGTGCAGCTTTGGTGGTGTCGCAAAAGCGCCATGCATGTGTGACCGGCGCCTTACAAGCACTCGTTCATTCTGAATTGCGATATCAGCAACCTTTGAGCTTTTTCTGAGAATATGGATGCGATTTCAGCAACTTTCACTTGTTTTGGCATGGTTGCGAAAAGCACAAGTTGCGAAGTATTTTGGCATCTTTGGCCAATTGGGCTAGTCAGGAGCACTGTTTCAACACAGACTCAGTGTGTCCTAGATCCTCCGCCTTGTAACATTGAACATGCTGTCAACCGATCAACATGCATTGTACATGTGCATGACTATTGTATGGTGTTACATGTATATAACCCAATACTAGTTCAAAAACTAGTATTAGATAAACCTTGTTATACATGTATATGTAGTTGATGCATATTGTTACATTGACAACATGAAACAAGGTGGGGGACACTGTGTTCGGAAACAGTGACTTTACTACAACCTTCCGCGGTTGGCAGAGCCCCGGTCCCTGCGGACCATTTGAACCATATGGGTGTTGAACCCGGTTCTGACCCTCATTATGCTATAGGGGGGTTGGAGACTACTCCTTACGTCCGTCGTGTATTCTTTGATCGCTCCTGGATGTCGTCCTGGTAGTCATGTAGCTACTTAAACCTCAACTTCTTTTCTTCCAACTTCTGCCCATGGCGTCCTTCTCTCAGCTCATCAGCTGTCAACAGTTACTGCCACCACCATGATACCATGACACTGTCGCGAGAAGGTGCTCTCCGGGGTTGGTGATGTCCCGACGTGGCCATGGGTAGGCCTTCACCACGTCGGAACACCCCGGCTGCACGTTGGTTACCCCCACCCCCACTTGTTTGTTGTTGATGTTTTTCGAACACAGTGTCCTCCACCTTGTTTCATGCTGTCAATGTAACAACAATGATGACTATTGTAGTGCAAGTGACTACGACTTGTACAAGTAGTATGACTGTCAGTGTCATCAGTCCAAGTCCGTACCACTAGTCACTACTCGTCATGGCCGCATGGGTCCATGCACCATGCGCCTCTGGGCTCTACTCTCTAGCTAGCCTAGGCTCTCACTAGCCAAAGCTGCAGTGCGAGTCGTACCAAGCGCGGTTGTCAATGCGGCACCAGCTACAAAGACAAGTGAGACGTCATGATGCGCCAGATAGAGGATGAGTCTGGATGACTCGAGTGTTCCTCGGCTGGAGAGATCCACACGACGTCATGTACAAAGCTACTGCAGTACCGGTACGAGTGCAGTGACAACGACACGCTTCTTCGCCAGTTGTACCATTGTGTACTGACTGAGTTTACACGACACTCTACAGCTAGCAAGAGTACGTCATCATGGACATCATGGACATCATGGGGGTTATCTGGTTATGATGCACTCTTGACTACAGACGAGTACAGTTAGCAGTGAAATAAAAACCAACCAACCAGTCAGTGCACTCACTGCCTCTGTCTACAGACTCAGTACTACTAATATGTACCAAGACAACCAGATAACCCCCCCCCCCCCCTTATGATAAATACTTACACAAAGGCAGAAGAGAACAGAGCTATAGACAACCGGCTAGGTCATTGTTGTAACGCTGCGTTTCATGCACATAGCGTCATAGGCTAGCAAAGCTAAGGCAATCCTCAGACAACTGATCTCCGGCTGTCTCTGTTCTCTTCTGCCTTTGTGGTAATGGCTAATGCTCCATCCTTGTACTGTTGTAGTGTTGATCACTCTAGGCAATCTGGGAACTCTCGCTATTGTGATAACTACTTACATGTACTAGTACATGTATGACTACTGCCCTGGTCTTTCATTGCCATGACCACGATGACTAGGCCAGTGCATGCAGTACACTGTACGGCCTACAAAGGCTACAGTACAGGCTGAGTACAGGGTCTGAGTTGGAAGACGATGAAGTGCCAAGCAGTTGCAAAATCCCATGATCATGATGATGACAATCAGGGAGTCGTATAATTTATTATACGACTCCCTGAATGTAGACTTTCAAGTAGAGTGATGACATTGTCTCGTCACTGTTTACATTTTATGGTCATACCGCGACCGCAGTACCGGTACGTAGCATGCAAGACTCTTCTTGCCAAGACTCGACTCTTCTTGCCAAGACTCATACTAGTCGGACAGCCTAGGCGGCGTGCGGCTCGGAGCCTAGTTTTATAACGCCTGCTCTAGAGCTGTGGCCGTGGAGGCTACCTACATTTTTACAACTACAAAGTAGTACAATCATGTAGTACTTACATGTACTTTTTTGTGCATCATGTAGATCTACACGACTTGTGTGTGCGAGTGATGACTGACATGATGCAGTCAGACTACAGACAGTACAGTCGAGTCTACACTACATATAGTACAGTGCAGTCCAGAGTCCAGACATCAATCATCATCATCAGCAGGCAAAGGCACGTGATCATCATCAATGGCCCCAAAAATATCGGGCCATGCACTGCACATGCATGATCTGGCACCCAGGGAGGCGGAAACGCCACCCATGCATCTCGTCTTTGGTTGAGCTGGTACAGCCCGTACAGCCATATGCATGCATGCAGTAGACTCTACGAGTTGCACAGCCCACGGCTACGCTCAGTGGAACCAGGCGATATATTCGTTCGTTGATGAATTTTTTTTCAGTCTGCTCTGTGTTCTTCTAGGTTCGTCTGTTGAAGTGTCCTTCTTCTCCTTGTCCGTGCAACCATGCTGAAGTACGTCCTCCTTCTCGCTTTCGTCGGCTACGCTGCCGCCTCGATCTGTCCTGGTGGTCAAAGCCAGTGCCCTGGAACTGAGACGTGCTGCGAGTTGACGTCGGGCGGATATGGCTGTTGCAAATTCACCAAAGCGACCTGCTGCTCCGACCATGAGGTGAGCTTGGAATTGGAACATCTGCTTTTCTTTTCTGTTGTTTGCTCTGTGCTGATATGCCGCTGCCTAGTGTATCAGATGGTTGTCTTTGCTCGTGGTGCTGTGGGTTGGTTGTCCGAGCGACAGATCTCGTTGCCAGTGAAATGCTATGATACTAGTTGCTTATCATGAATAGTCGCGCGCAGTTGAGTTTTCCGTTAGAAAATTCATAGCTTATTATTTCGGAGCGAAGGGCGTGGTACAGGCAACTATTTGAACACCCCAAGTCGAGAAAGATGTGCCATACGTCTCGCTTGCTTTCAGCGCCAGAACACTAAAGGTTCTGAATTTTTCATAATCCGTGCTCCTGAAAGAACGAAATCAGTAAAGTTCAAGTGAAATAGTCTGTACTTCGGAAGTACAAAAAACTATTATTTTACAATGAAGAAGCACCCTTCCATTTCTTTGGAGATGTGCGAATTCCGTTGGGAATAGGACAAACGGAGATTCGCAAATTCTTCGGAGCAGTATCGTACAACCAAGAGTTAATAAACCAAAACGTGTTCAGCTCCGGGAGAGAATCATCCCCCACCTCTACAGTGAAGTTTAGGGGGTTCCGCGAAACCCCTGGAACCCCTCCTGGATCCGCCCCTGACATTGGTTCACATGGACATCTTACCGTATCAGCAAAGTGATTTCTGTTGTGCGTTGCTGCTCGTCGTACGAAAGGTGAAAAACGCACGCGGATTTCCGTTTATCACCTTTTGCGATGCAGTGATCTATGACATACATGTATCATTATACACTGTACCAAAGATGTACTGCTCCGGTCGCAGCCGTATGGGACACTCGTATATTCATTCTATTTTTCTACCATTGCAGGAAATGTTCATTTACCTAGTTGATCCTGGAGACCCCCGAGATACCGGCAGGCATTTTGCCTCTGGGGAATCCTTTTAAAAATATAAAAATAAAATAAAATAAAGCGGGTGTTTTGAAGCCTGCAGAAAATGTTGAACGGTCCCTGCTGGGATGACGACTACACCATAGCTCAGTGGTTAGAGCATCGCTGGCTTCGAGCGAAGGTCCCTGGTTCGCGTCCTGCTGGTGACAGTCAAGTTTTTTTTCAGACTTTCCCTTTTGCAACTTTTCCAGAAAACCAAGAAGTATATTAAGTAAATATAATTAAATGGCATCCATGCCATGTGCGTGCAGAAGTGCTTTTCTGCACTTTTCTGAGGCCGAATGACCGAGCTGTGTGCACAAGCTAAGTCCCACGGCAACAAAGAATGCCAACTGTTACAAGAACATGACGGGACCAGTTAATAACATGACAATGCGCCGTTGAATGCGGTCTAACTACAATTCGAAGCAGCAAAGCAACACACCACCCAACTTGAGTGGGTCAGCAATATCAGAGATAAAGAAAAGGGGAAGCATTCGTTGTTGCCATGGGACTTAGCGTGTGCACATTTTCACTGCGCTCACCTTCCCCTCATTGGCCCAACATTAACCTTGAACCTTCCAAGCTTGAAGGCTGTTGGTTTGCGCACTGGAAGTGTGTGAGAGCTAGGTCTCAGGTCGTTGAATGTCTCAGTAACATGCTAGTTTTGTGCCCTGTTATCGCACTTTCTGACTGCTTATTATCTCTTGTTACAGTCGTGGATAGTTGCTTCATAACTCCTTTCTATGGGATTTCTTCTATTTTAATTATTTTGTTAAAAATGCAATATATAAAACTGGAGAAGAAAGCAGGGAATAATGCATGTGTAAAATAGAGATTTTTCAAACGCAAACCAAAAGAAAACTTCAAATCGAATGAGTTCTAATGAGTTCTAATGTGTGTGTGCGTGTGTGTTGACATGTGATTGTTACAACAGCACTGCTGCCCAGATAACTACAAGTGCGACCTGGCGAACGGCACCTGCACCAGTGTTCCTCTGAACGACGGCTCCCTGCACATCCTCCCGATGGCCAAGCAACTGGACGCGCTGCCCTACGTCATGACCGACCAGGACAAGGCAGTGGCGGCCGCCGAGAACCACCACGAGGAGGAGCCGCGTCGCCATCACCACCACGAGCACCCGCAGCCCGAGGGCGAGCAGCGCCAGCACGAGCGTCGCAACGACGAGTAACCGTGGTGATGACTAGTACCCGTGGCAATGACGAGTAACCTCGGCAACGCAGTTAGTGTCGTGTGCTTCGGCGGCTACCGGCTTCTGTCTTTTCAACTTTGTTTTAAAAACATACAAAAATCCACCCCGTTCCCTTGGCATCGTGTGTGTAATGCTCCCTTTCATTGTCCTTCGGTAGATCTTTTCTTCTCTCTCTCTCTCTCTCTGAAGTGTGTCAGTGCTTGTCTTATGGCGATTGCTGCATGTAGCCACACTTGCAAAATACTCAGCAACAGACTCCCGTATTCCGCCGTCAATACCGGTTGGTGTGCCCGAAGCAGAGCTTGGGATTTCTTAAAACGAAACACGAACCGTGGGTTTTGGTCCTGTTTTCAGCGTAGCCGCTGCCTGGCTGCCTTCATTTAATCATCGCTCTGGTGATAAGCGATATGGGGTACTGTAAAAACATCATTACTGCATCACAGATGGTATGACCATAATCGTACTTTTCGTCCAGGATGGCTTGCAGAGCGCTAAAAACGTGCAGTGTTGGTCGAAACAATCATTCAGGGACACCCCGACCCCGGTTGCACCTAGGGTCCGGCGGATTCTGCCGGCAGAAAAATTGGCTGAATTCGGTTCTTTTTCTGGTAAGTTTCATGCATGTTTGGTATGTGAATAAAAAAAAAATGGAGCAGAATTCGAGGAATTGCCCGCCATAAGGTTTGTATTGTTCTGGCAATTTCACTGCTTTTCGAGCAGAATCCGCCGGTCCCTAGTTGCACCACTTCCCTGTGACACCCAGACCCCGGTTGCACCACTTTCCTGTGACATAACACCCCTTGTAGGGGTAAGCATCAGCTTACATATACATGTACATGTGCATGAGGCGCCCTCGATAGGCCGCGGTTGCCTTGTGTTTGCGTCCCCCTTTTCTAGAGGTCCGTGGGTCTCAGTTATACTTAGTGCTGAGTCGGGTAGCATTTTCTTCGGGTACATGTACCGGGTTCGGGTAGTTTTCCACGGGCAGTACGCTGAGTACGGGTACCCGATCGGATAATGTTTCCATGGTAGCACCACCATGCACCCTTTCCCGGGCCTTAGGCCGCGGTCACACATGAAAAGCTTGCACCGCTTTTGCGGAGGCGGAAAGCGGAACTACCGCAGCCGCTTTGGCGGTCCACACGATGCAGCGGTCACACATACATGTAGACTACTGTGCTCCTCTACGCTCCGCTTTGGCGGAGGGAATGCAAATGCAGCACGTCCTATGAAATTTTAGATGTTCTTGTCCGAGTTGAAGCGACCTTCGCTTGTACAAGTAGAGCTATCGTGGACCGCTGGCAGGCTGCTGAATGTCTCCTGTCAAGTACACTCGTGGATTTGGGGCGCATTCACTGCGGCCCAGTACATGTACAGGTGTATTTGAATATTAATAGTAGTTTGGTTTACATCAATATCAAATTCAAAATAGTTGTCTAGCAGGGTGTCGTTGCCGTACAAGTAGAGCTATCGTGGATCGCTGACAGGCTGCTGAATGTCTCCTGTCGACGGCAAGTACACTCGTGGATTTGGGGCACATTCACTGCGGCCCAGCACGGGTGTATTTGAATATTAGTCTAGTTTACATCAATATCAAATTCAAATAGTTTTATAGCAGGGTGTCGTTGCCTCCTCCATGATCCATCATCGACCCAGCGACTGCGTGGATGCCTGCAGTTGCAGTGAGGGTGTGGCAGAGTACTCTGCTACTCCCTGGTTGCAGTCCTAGTGTTGCATACTCTGGTGGACGTATTGCTTGGAGAGAGTTGGAGATCGTCCGCGATCGGGGCCAATGAGTTGGGAGACGGATTCCCTCACTCATAACGATGCAGTATTGTTTGCGAGATCTCCAGAACGTACAGTTCATTGGCAAAGAAGAACAATATGAAAACTGAATACCAAGCGGCAACCAAACAACACCAGAACTCAGTGCAGAAGTAGCACACCAAACTCCAAAGCCATCAGGCATCACCATGCAGGTTCCGCCAAAGCGGATCCGCGAAAGCGGAGGCTCCGCTCGCATTTTTTTGGCGTAGCGAAATCCAAACTTCCGCCAAAGCGTTAACTTACGCCTCCGCCGTTGCCGAGGCAACGGCGGAAGCGTAAGTTACGCTTTGGCGGAACCGCCAAAAAAAGTGCATGTGTGACCGGGGCCTTACACTTACAGCTATACACTGGGTAGACATGCAGAGTACTGTAAAACCGGAAAGTCTAACGAGTCACAAAGTCTAACGTTTTAACGACCAATTCTTTTTCGTTATTATGTTGTAATAATAATAATAACCCAGAGGTCGCTTACACCTGTGACCAGGCAGGTTTTACTGTAATACTGTAAAACCGGAAAGTCTAACGAATAAAAAGTTACACGTTTTTGTAATTTTGGCATGATGACGTGCAGAAAATTTAACGAAGGCTACCTGGCAACCCATCTGTATGCGCATCTTAACACAGACATCTAGCGATAACGTAATTTTCAAATAACGAAAAAGAATTGGTCGTTAAAACGTTAGACTTTGTGACTCGTTAGACTTTCCGGTTTTACAGTACTCTGCATGTCATGGTGGTGATTCTTGCGTAGATGCATGCGTAGATATAGAGGTTGCGACTTTGGCGATTATTACAAAAAAATGTATTATCTACGCATGCATCTACGCAAGAATCACCACCATGTGTCAACGTATTGAACGTTTTCGTTCCCTTCTTCTCAAAATACTGCAGGGAATGATGGAAATACGCTAAGAGACTACAACTTACATGTATAAAGAAAAGAAGTTCATATTTTTTTGTAATATTTTCTGCCTTCATCCTAGTTTCAAATTATTATTATTTTAATTTTAAACTAAAGACGAAGGTAAGTATTAGGTCGCAAGTATCCACGCAAACACACATCCAGTCGAATAAGGCATTTGTCATAAAGTATCCAAACGTTTTCGGTCCCTTCTCATCAAGGATTGTACAGGGAATGGCTCAACACCACTCGTGACAAGGTGGAAAATTATCAAGTTCAGAATGACACAAAACTCGAAGAAAAAATAATACCGGTAGTGACAACAACATCGTGAGGAAATTAAGTTACATGTACAGTGTTAACACCTCGATGAGGAGTAACACCAAACAATTGTAGCGACAACACATTTAGTCTTTCTGTACGCAAAGTTCAGGATCTACTTAGTAACTATACAAAGGTTCTATCACATCCAAATGCAACGCACATCTACCACGTGACAATATTGAGAAAACATTATCACTGTACAACTCACAACAATTGGTACGAGCTGACAGATGTTGCTTGCCACGGATTGACGAAGTGCGATTCTTAGCTCCGTTGGGTAGGCCTTTGCGAATAATGCCGACAGAAAAATTGGCAGAATTCGGTACTTTTTCTGGTAAGTTTCATGCATGTTTGGTATGTGGATAAAGAAATGGAGCAGAATTCGAGGAATAGCCCGCCATAAGGTTTGTATGGTTCTGCCAATTTCACTGCTTTTCGAGCACAATCTGCCACCTTTTCGAGCATTATCCGCCAATGCCTACCGTTGGGTGTTGTCTCCTACAATGTCCCGTCATCTCGCCTCTTCGGGGCACCACCACTATCCGTCTCTGTCTGTTTCCGCGGCTTTCCACGTTTCCTGACACTGGCCGTTGTGCGTGAGATGCCCAGTGTCCTTTCAGCTACGACTCCTCCATTGCGGTTTTCTGCTGAGCGTCTTACTTCAACTTGTTACTTGTCCGGTGTCCGATGTCGAGGTTCGTTTTCACGGTCTACCACGAAACCCGTACAGCATAGCATGTAGCTAGTAGACTCTGCGAGTTGCACAGCCCACGGCTACGCTCAGTGGAACCAGGCGATATATTCGTTCGTTGATGAAATTCTTTTTCAGTTTGCTCTGTGTTCTTCTAGATTCGACTGTTGAAGTGTCCTTCTCCTTGTCCGTGCAACCATGCTGAAGTACGTCCTCCTTCTCGCTTTCCTGGGCTACGCTGCCGCCTCGATCTGTCCTGGTGGTCAAAGCCAGTGCCCTGGAACTGAGAAGTGCTGCGAGTTGACGTCGAGCGGATATGGCTGTTGCAAATAATTCACCAAAGCGACCTGCTGCTTCGACCATGAGGTGTCTCCTGTTCACACTCAAAATGCGGCAGTTAAAAAAACTGTTTTGTACGCGTCCCCATCTACGCGTACGCCCGTCCACGGTGTAAAAAGTAAAGTTAGTTGAACTGACGTCGATCCAACTCTTCCCGATACCCGTAGACGTACATGTACATGTAGTACGGTTGCGTTCCCGTTCCGGGTGTTCACATTGCAGGACTCCGTCAGACAATCCCGTCGCGCCCCGTCGAATGTGAATGACAAGGCGCTCCCTGCCTCCCTGCCTACCTCCAGCTCAAAAAATCGAAAGGCCAACTTCTCATGGATTTTTGGTACTTTCTGTACGGAAGTACAGGTTCCTGCACGAGTACGAGGCCAGTACCGCGGAATCCAGCCCGCGCCGCGATAGCGGCAAGGGCTGGATGAACAGCGGTACTGGCCGAGTATGAGTGACTGGAACGTGTTTCCCGTGTGCACCCAAGCCAAATAAAGAGATACATGACAGACACACCTGCATTGTGTTTTGTGATTGTTTTCTGGTACAGTTTTTTGTAGTAGTCCATAGTGCTTTTTTTCTCGCGCGGCCATTGACATTGTCGACTGGGCATTATTATTATTATTATTATTATTAAATTTTGGGCATTCTGGCTGTTCTGTTCCTACGGATTTTTCCCACTACACGTCTTGATCGGAAACCTCGGCAAATTGCGCGGATCCTGCAGGTTGCTGAGCATTGCGCGCTTTGGTTGAGGCTCATCCGGCTCGTCCAAGATCTCCTTCGCGAGCGACTCCGCAATAAAAGTTTCAGTCTCTTCCTCAACTTTTCGGAGGAGCTCATTCGCATCGCCAATATCGTTCAACAAAGGGGCTTCTTTTCTCCCAGTTCCAGATCAAATGTTGGAGCGCCATGATGACAGTTGTGGTTGCAAACAGTCGCTCTTCTGCTTTAGTTATTTTATTAGTAACCAATGAAACTTGAAAGACCTTGAAGTAGAGTCAGTCCAGTGGCTACTGCCCGGCGACGGCCAGTTGAATCCGTTCCTGCCCGTCGTCAAGTGACGACGGGCAGTGGAATCCGTTCCTGCCCGTCGTCACTTGACGACGGGCAGTGGATCCAGTTCCATCACCTTTGAGCAGGCAGGACCGCGCTTTCCAGCCCGCGCTGTTTGATCTGTCATTGGTCAACTCCAAGGCGACAATCACGTGACATACGGGAATATCGCTTTCCAAAGTATACATCGCAGGTAGACAACTCATAATTACATAAAGGAAGCCATTGCCCTCGAAAAAATTGCAAAATCCGAAGTACAAGCATGCTGCTGCTCGTTCTAGCGCCAGCCGCTGTGCAAAAATGTCACGCGAAAATGCGCGGTGCGCCGCATTCGCTACATACACGTACATGACCGGCCCGGACAGTCGCGAAGTAAAGTTAGTTAGTTACTAGTAGTAGTTGTTGTTTGGGAGAGAGAAGCAGATCCTTTTTTTTGTTCGGTGGGATTGAAAGATCTGCCCGGAGTAGACCGGAGAGCTACAACACTGGAAGCAGAAGAAAGGGCGTGCGTCCGAGCAAACAGCAGTCATCGACGTCCGGCTCCTTCAGAGACAGCGCGCATCGCGGTCGCGAGTTTTCCATGCCTGCGGCAGGAACGAAGCCGCGAGGGTGGAGTGGAATGTAGCAGTTCCATCCTGGCTTGGTGACGACAAGCCATTCAGTGGTGTAGGTGTCTCGTCCAAACATTACCAGTGCTAGTCCTCATCGGTGCGCAACACACCAGCCTCATTATTGGAAAAACCTGGTGCTCAGGAGCCTTACTCCCTGCCTAGCGGGCTTGTCACCCACACCTGCAGGATGCGCCTTCCAAATCCCTTTTCCACGCATTTCCCACGAAGACAGGTCGCCGGTGGTGTCGTCGGATTGGCTGCACTAGTATCCTCTTACCATCTTACTGGAAGGCATCGCAGTCAAGTAACGTCATAGGTAAGCCAATAGCCTGAAATACAACCAATCCAAAACCAGCGGACACAGACTCGTTTTGACAGAAACGCTTTTTTCTCCCGAGTTCACGAGTGACAACTTCTGGTGGAACAAGATGATAGGAGAGAACGAGCGAAGCAGCGCATGGTAGCAGAACATGAGGCTACCACAGGTGTGAAAAGAAGTAGCATGGCGGGAGGCTGCATAATGTTGCGAAGAACAGCACGTGGCCAAGCGAAACACACACAGCCCATCATAGTATAGATTCCCACGCAATGTTAGTCACAGTACAGTGGAGATTGGATATATAGCGATACTCCTTCGGGAGAGAACAAAATGTCACTATACCGTAAAAGTCCGTAAATAAGTACGTATTTACTTTCGAATTTAGTGACCACACCCGTACTAACTTTCGGACGGGTACTGACTTTCGGGCACGAACGAACTTTCGGACCTGACTTGTGTGTAGTGGAGAAGTCACTTTTCATGTAGATGTACATGCTACGTGCTGCATGTGCGCATCGTACCGGTACTTATTTCAGGCAGTATGTTTATCGGGCTTGACTTGACTTCAACAGACAGAGCCAAAAGAATGAAGGGGTATTTCTTTCAGGCAGGTACTTATTTACGGACTTTTACGATATTCCATCTGTCACTAAGCCCGATCTTCACACTTGGGCACACACATCACCAGGGATGCAAACTTCCAGAGACACTCGGTTTCCAGCGCGACAAACACCTCGTGAACACCAGGTAGCAGCGTGGGTCAGTGTGACCATGGTGACTGTGTCGCTCATGGAGGTGCTGAACAAAAGACCTACAGTAGTACAGGGGACTGTGGTGTTGGCCATTCACAACGTTGTTGCAGCACTATATACGTGTAAGTGATGCTCTTCAGGCACATTCTTCCTCAGCCTACTCAAGCGCAACTGATGAGGGGTGAAGTCCCCAAAACACTGTGTATTCAGCAGGGAGTGGTACTTTCTTGCAGGTTGGCCGAGTGGAAGGTTCGATGGACTTCTCGTGTGCTCTGGGTGGCAGTCGTGAGTCAGTCAAGTGAGAATTCAAGTCGGCAGGAAAAGCGCGAGCTCCCGGTCTCATAAGATAGAACTTAACGTAGTGACTTCTTTATTTGACCCGACGACGAGACCACACGACACGTGCAGACGACAACACGGACAGTCCACCAGCCACACTCCACGGTAGCAAGTACAGTAAAACCTGATGTAAGCCACCTCTGGGTTTAGTGACCACCTGCTCTTAACGACCGTTTTTCCGTGCACCGACACTTCTACTGTGGGACCTGGTTCTAAAGACCACCTGGATTTAACGACCGCTTTTGCTTGCACCGTGAGTGGGGTGGTCTCTTAGGTTTGACTGTAGTGTTACTGCTGACTAGGCGTGTTTCGTTCCATAAGAAGATGGCAATACAATAGCGACTTCGGCGGTATGGGTGAATGAAGTTGGTTGCTCATATGTTGAGCACATGCTTCCTGCCGAACTTGACACTTGACGGACTCATGGCTGCGATCCGCAGCCACGGGCGGCCCGTCGTAAGTTCCACTCGGCAAACCTGCAAAAAAGCACCACTCTCTGCTCAATACACAGTGTTTTGGGGAATTCACCTCTCACCAGCTGAGCTTGAGTAGGTTGAGGAAGAGTGTGCCTGAAGAGCACCACTTGGCACTGTTTCCAAAACAGTTGCCCGGATACCTTGACAACATCGGTATCACCAGCTTCTGCTCTGTGTTTGAATTGCAAAAGAATGCTCTCCTTGGCTCGGCAGCTATCCTGCACCACCTGTACTGGCCGAAAAATCGGACGGTTTGGCAGCACTGTGACTTGACGGACTCACGACTGCCATCAAGAGCAAATGAGAAGTCCATCAAGTCCACTGAGTCAGTCAAGTGTCAAATCAAGTCGGCGGAAAAGCGAGAGGTCTGGTGTGGGAAGCATACACTTTTCTTAGTCAATCATTTACCTAACTTTCAATCATGACTGAAAAAGAAGCAGTGTGGGACTTCTCCTGTTTTCTTCTCCATTCATGCAGGATGAACAGAAGCGGAGACAAGCAAAGCTGAATAAGGCATGCAAGAGCCTAAAATCGCCACCTCCAACAAGACACTGTCGCAAACGCAAAGAGATAAATTCTTCCATCACATGCTGGTGAACGACAACTACAAATGCTCTTACTGTTACGTGCCCAAGATCGGCTGCACCAATTGGAAGAAGGTGCTGAAAGTGTTGTCTGAGCAGGACGCTTGGCCAGGCTGCCGCCCATTTAGCCACATAGCAGACGTGGTTCGACTTTCCAAGTTCAGCAAAGAGGAGAGACTCCGCCGCCTTAAAACCTATTACAAGTTCATGTTCGTACGTGACCCGCTTGACCGCCTGGTCTCGGCTTACTTGGACAAGTTTCATCCGAGTGGCAGCGACATGGTTCTTCGCAAGAAATACGCCCCTATCATCGTCAGGAAATACCGCAGGCCACCGCTGTCGAAGGAGCAGGTAGAGAAGGCACGTGGCGATGACGTGACGTTTCCAGAGTTTGCCAATACGTAGCGGACTGGCAGCCCGGCAAGTTCCAAGAGCACTGGGCACCATATGAAGACGTGTACCAGCCATGCACGGTCAACTATGACTTTATTGGTCAGTACGAGCAGATGACCGACGAGGTCAATTGCGTTCTGCGGCAGGGTCGTGTATCCGGGCCGGCGAAAGTACTACAGTCAGACCTCGCTTATCCGGTCCTCTCTTATCCGCATCCCTCGCCATCCGGGAGAAAATCGTTGGTTACCAATTTACGGCACATGCCATGCATACATACAGTATGTGTGTTTGATTATCCGGTTCCCTCGCCTTTCCGGATTTTTTTTGTGGAGAACGGATGTGTGCGATTATGCGAGGTCTGACTGTACCACACATCGCCGCGTCAAAGTGTGCTCTCCTATTTCTACCAGCTGAATGCAGCCATGCAGAAAAGAATTCTGGATATTTATAATCCCAGCTACAACATATATGGCTTTGAGAAGCCGGAAGCACCCAATCTGGAAAATATTCCCTGTGCACTAAGCGGGCGCAACATTTAATGACCCTACCGCCACCACACATGCATCCTTTATGCTTGTATAATTATAATAAAAACCCGGCACAACTACAACTGTAGGCCACTACATTAATTATGCACAATATTATTGACCATGATAGCATGAAAGCACTCAGCTGTGCGGTACACCCCCTCCCTGCCAGAAAGGCCAACGTCTCATGGATTTCGGTACTTTCTCTACGGAATTTCGCTTTCCAAAGTATACACCGTAGGTAGACAACTCATAAAGGAAGCAATTGCCCTCGAAAAAATTGCAAAATCCGAAGTACAAGCATGCTGCGCGTTCTAGCGCCAGCCGCTGTGCAAAAATGCATGCTATGTCACGTCAAAGTGCGTCGCATGCGCTACATACATGTACACAAGGTATGCCCCCACATGAGCGCGACCAAAAACAGCGCGGTTGACTTCAGCGGCGTACGTTTCGTCCCCACTGGACTCATCAGGCAATCTTCTTCTTGGATGTCTTCATACGGAGCTCGACTCGGAAGAATGAAGTTGAAGACGCCGCTGCAGCTGTACCTATGGTTGATTGATTTTTTACTAACGTAATAATAGGGCTGAGTCGGGTAGCATTTTCTTCGCGTATTGGATTCAGGTAGTTTTCCACGGGTAGCACGGGTACCCGATCGGGTAATGTTTCCATGGTAACACCACAATGTACCCCATCCCTTACATACTTGGTAGACATGCGGAGTATTGCATGAATTAATGTGTCCACGTGCACTGTACATGATGTCATCTGCGACTTCGGGTTTTCGGGTACTATTCTGGACCCGTCTACCCGAGGTCCTCACGGGTAGCACGGGTACTTGAGGTAAGTAGGTGCCATACGAACGCGGAGGAAATCCTATGTACTAACGGGGTTTATGTACGAATGAATTATGTACGAACCGACAAAATTTGTATGGAAGTGATCACGTTTCATCCGGGACTTGAGACTTCTTGTGTACTAACAGGGTTTCAGTATTAACCGGACTCGTATTAACGGGGGACAACCTGTGGAAGACAACATGAAACATAGATCGAGCTATCCATGGCCATTTGCTTTGTCTTGTAATGAGGGAATCGAACCTGCGGGACCCGACCGCTGAAGGACTTAGGTGACGTTATAACGGATTTCGTCTACAAACGCCCCGTACGCGCTCCGTACGTTGCCTTTTGCATGGCAAGACAATTTTGGAAAATGGGAAAAGATGGGTTACGGAACTTACGGGGTGACTGCTTCCATACTGTGCACTGTCTCGGAGACAAACGCAGTGATTCAGCCACTGACTAGCGACTCTTTCACCTGATCCATATTATTATACTTCTGTGTTGGAAGAAGACTGCAGATCACCCGCAATGGGTGCTCCGCCGTCAACACCCAACATGCATTCATGCACCATTCCGGCACTAACAATTCGCCGACTTGAATCTCTACCAGCACTCCTAAGGTGGCAAGCTGAGTTTCATACGTAGAGTCTACTGACCAGCTAATTATTTACTGGCATGCCATAAGCAGCAGCAGCTTCGGACTGAGATATAAATCACCTTTCATGATAGGTGGATGAAATACACGTAGAAACGGTTCTTCCAAATAGCAGTTTTCTGACCTTCACCTTTGACTAATCAGCAATCTCTTCTTCAGCCCTGCTACTTTTGACAGTGTGGCAGACTTGCCGTAGAATATGCCCGCTGGCTCTTGGACGTCCCTCAAGTGTCCATTGAGGGATATTTTACCACATTGATCACAAATTCACGAATTTCGATCCATGATTGACAGCTCAAAAGCCCGTGGAAGAACACAATTCCCCGCAACGCTGCTGATGCTTACAAAACTACAATACAATGGCAACTCTCTAGTCTGTAATGTACTCTTGGTCAAGCTATAAAGAGTCAAAGACGTGGACACTTCATCGGAAGAACTTACATGTACGGTAATTGAATAAATACTATGATTATTATCAAGAGTGCATAAACATTTTTTTTTATGGACTCTTGACGAGTCTTGTTATTTTTAAAAAATTAACTCGATTTGTAAAAAAATAACTCAAAAACGTTTTTGGGAGCTTGTCTCCAGGCAACGAAATAATGGCGGTAATATCTACGCCAGGTTTTTTTCGTTTTTTTATGGTCAAATTAATTTAATTTGAAGCAAAAGTCATACTGCACTGTACTCATGGTACTGGTGATTGGTGAACGTGGGAGCATCAACTCAGTCAAAGAGAGAATTACTACAATTGCATAAATTGCCTCTGAATGGTTCCCTCTCCGCATAGACCCGACAAATCAAAAGGTCTTTAGCGCAATGGCTGACGATGAGTGAGGAGTCTTTGTTGGTTACTGCAGTTGTGCCGTTTGGTTGTTCTGACACCTGGATTTCGGGACTTTTGTTCACAGGGCTTCAAGTGGTCTGAGCTATGCCAGTGCCGGAGTGTCAATCGATGCTGGCAATCATTTGGTGGACCTCATCAAGCCTTTGGCGAAGGCCACGGCACGCTCCGGGTGCGATGCTGCCCTGGGTGGCTTCGGAGGGTTGTTTGATCTGAAGGCAGCCGGCTACCGCGACCCAGTGTTAGTGATGGGAACAGATGGTGTGGGAACTAAACTCAAGGTATTGGATACGTACTGGTACAATCTCTACGCTTACATGTTGTATTCTACCATGCTTATACATGTACATGTAGTGAGAAATACTTGTAGGCTTCTAAGTTCTAATGCTCAGGGACGTAGAAATGGAGTGTGATGTAAACATGAGAGAGCAGTGCCATCTCAGAGCCCTCGCTGTGCAGTATATTTACCTATGTCGTCATACGAGCTACTCAAACTGATAAAAACGTCATTGCAATCCTGGCAGATAGCTTGTACGTAGGTGCATGTGTTGTAGGTCAATCCTTTATGGACTGGAAGAATAATGTACTGAAATATGCAGACTGAATTTGACCTCACATCGAGTTTCACAATTCCCCGGCTCGCTTTCGTCTTCTTTGCACGATATGTACAATCTTGGTGGGCTATCTGGAAAGCCCATCGCAAGAGGAACACAGTGGGTGACGCTTGCTACCACGATTGTCAAAATGCCAGTGCTACAGCCCTGCCTCGAGTTGGTGTGCTGTTTTTTGAATGAGTTTCTATTTCGCTGCATGGCCAGGAAGGTGCCGACGTACAGTAGATCAAACCACACAGAAATTGATCTCGCGAGCACACCGTTCGGGTAGGTTTGCTTAGTCAATCCAGGTTTGCATCCAGATTCACTGGAGTAGTCGCAGGATTAGTTCCCAGTGAAACAGAACGAACGGAAGATGTTTGCCAGAAATGTGCAGATATCATTGCAATGTGGCTTTCATTGGGTGTTGCAATTTTAACTGGCTGCTCTAGCCTGGGGGAGGGGGGGGCAGACCACTTAAACACCCTTATTCTAAGCGAAGCGGCGGCGGGACGGAACAATCAAATGCAGCCTTAGGTGGTAGGTTTGAGCACCAGAAATGGCGAATATTGGCACTCACAGAAAATGTTTGCGATTTCTCTACAGTACCGTCGGTCCTCGAAGAACTGCGCAGTCAGCCTCCCATCCTAGACCGCTCCTATATTCATGTATTACAGTCTATGCAGAGTTGAGTCACCATGACTGTATATTGTGTATAATTAGTAATTACACTGGTATGCTGTGCTTGGTGAAATTCTAGGCTGGTCATTCTTCGGCACCCGACGGTACTGTACTTTGCGGTGTGTATTTTTCTATTTTTCTCTCTCTGCAGATTGCGCAGACATGTGGCCATCATGACACGGTCGGGCAGGATCTAGTTGCTATGTGCGTCAACGATATCCTGGCGCACGGTGCAGAGCCACTGGCCTATCTGGACTACTTTGCGTGCGGCAAGCTGGAAGTGGAGACGGCCAGGCAGGTGGTGAGTCCTCAGCAGTACTGGTCTGTGTTGACTTGGGTGTTGTAGTCCTTAGCAGTTCTTGTTGCACATATAGACATGGCCTCCTAAGCAGTAAGCACACGTTGGCGGCCAACAAGTTGGTCCGGTCACCACCTGACCAACCGAACCGGTTCCGCCGAGCCTGCTACGTAACCTGAAGTGTACAGCACTCTGATCATGATGCAGTGTGCGGCACGCTGCCTCTATCACATACCTTGCCTGCATCACCCCCACCCCACGCGCGGACACTCAGAAACCCACAACCTCTCCTACTGCTAGCATATGGTTGCGTAGTTTGCTCGAGTCCCGGCGTAGTTCCTAATTTGGGTGCACGTACTTCCGTCCAGTCCGAAAGTGAGCTTCAGCACTTCCACCGGCTTGCCGCATTTCTAGTTCACCATGCAGCTGTATTTCACTCTTCCATCTAACTATTCCCTGGGTTCCCTGTAAAAAGGCGTCGACGCCTGTTGGAAATTCCCTAGGAAAACAAGAATAAATAAAAGCTCACGGGGAATTTACCTTTGATGTTCAGCAGTGTGCGGCGAGACAGGGTTGCATAATGAAGTTAGCATGCCACGCAACTGCACCGTAGAAAAGAGCAGTTGCATGCTCTTGGTTTCAGTGCTGTCGAGTTCCAAAGAACTTGGGGTCAGCCTCGTAGGCTAGGCCGTTCTCATTTTCACGTGCTGCGGTCTACACGCAGCAAAGTCGCCGTGTATGCATGGGCATCACTGTGCTGTGCTTGGTGAAATCCCAGCCTCTTCGTTCTCCGGTGCCTGACAGTACTGTACAGTTGAGTCGCGCGCCCAAGAACGTTGTTTCCAAGGGGTTAGCCTGGGACGTTCTTATTTTTCATGAAATCTGGCTACGTTCTTATAGCACGTTCTCAGAAACAATCCGTACTGGATCATATGTATCCCACAAGATGCCAGAAAACCAACACCGCCGTTCTTAGCTTTAGGCTGTTGCGTTCTTAGAATTTCAGGCTGGACCTTCTTGGGCTCCACATTCTTCTGCGCGCGACTTTACTGTATGGTTTCGTTCTACTGCCGGACTAATGGCTACACTGTGTCACTCTTGCGCGCGCGAACTCTGCAGGTCCGCCTGGACGGATTTAGTCCGGGCGCACCCTCTGGGGAAGGCAGTTGTGTGGTGGCCGCTTCCTGGTGAGGTATTCCCTTCACCTGGCTAGTAAAGCGGCCTGATGAATGATATAAGGTATAATGTACGGTTGAGCCAGGTGAAATCCAACTCAAAAATGGAAAGTTGGCAGCCTGTCTGCTCTGACTCCCCCCCCCCCCCCCCCAATATTGTTGGCAGGCGGGGAGATTGATGGTATGTTTTTTTTGTATCGCAGATCGGTGCTGGAACTCACCGTGATACACTGGGCGTCTATATTACCGTATAGCAGTAACACCTCATCAATATCCTGCCGGTATGCCTTGTGCCTTCAATGTCTTTCTGTGTGTGTGCATGTGTGTGCATGTGTGCCCTGCTGCTGCTGCTGCTTGTGCTGCATGTCTCTTTCCCACTTGGTATTGTATCAGGTTGCCGGCATTGCCGAAGGTTGTCGCATCGCTGGCTGTGCACTGCTGGGAGGAGAGACTGCGGAGATGCCGTCGTTCTACGCCAGCGGGGAGTACGATCTGGCTGGCTTTGCTGTGGGCGCCGCAGAGCGCGATCAGCTCATCTTCGGCACGGACACCGCCCAGGCCGGTGATGTCGTGATTGGAGTGGCCTCTTCCGGCGTGCATAGCAACGGATTCAGCCTGGTGCGCCGCGTCGTCACCGACCGTGGTCTCTCCTACAGCGATGCGTGTCCGTTTCAGGAAGGCACCACCCTCGGTCGAGCGCTGCTGGCACCCACCAAGATCTACTGCAAGCTGCTGCTGCCGCTGATCCGCAACGGCAGCGTGAAAGCGTTTGCTCACATCACCGGCGGCGGGCTCCTGGAGAACATCCCGCGCGTGCTGAGCAAGGACCAAGCTGCCCACCTGGACGCGGCGCAATGGGATGTGCTGCCCGTGTTCCGCTGGCTTGCGACGTCTGGCGGCATCGCGCCACGCGAGATGGCACGCACGTTCAACTGCGGTCTCGGCGCGGTCGTCATTACATCGCCGAGCCGAGCAGACGACGTCATCGCCGCGATACGAAGCGGCGGCGGCGACCACGCGGCGTGGCGCATCGGTCACATCAAGTCGCGCGTGGAGAACACCGAGCAAGTTCTCATCGACAATATCGACCGTCTGGTGGAGCCACTGTGCACACCACCTTCGCCTTCTGCTGCCAGCGGCACGCGCTCCACTCACGGAAAGCGCGTTGCCGTGCTCATCTCCGGCAGTGGCACAAACCTGCAGGCGCTCATCGACGACTTGAACAAGCCCAGCAGCCAGCATGCACACATCGTTCTCGTCATCTCCAACAAGGACGGTGTGCGCGGTCTGGAGCGTGCGCAGAAAGCTGGAATTCCCACTAAGGTGAGGCATGTTGTTCAGTATTATTAGTACGGCCGAAAACTTGAAGAGAACGTTTTAAGTTGCAGCATCTGTGGTGGTGGTGCTGCTGGTGGTGATGATGATGGTGTGTGTGGTGGTGCTGATGGTGGTGCTGGTGAAGCACATTTTTTGTTGCAGTTTCTGTTGGATCGCTAGAGTTTAGAGTAAACTTTAGACTTTTTTTCTTTGCGTTCTTTGTTTTATGCTAGATGACGTGATTGTACTAGCATTAGAATACAGTGCCCTCTTTGGCATTGTGGCCCATCTGTGATGGACTTTGAAATAATGGTGGGGGGGGGGGGGGGACACTAATCGCCCCCGAGTACTGTAGTAGCAAGAGTACATAAGCCCCCAAGAGTGTGCAACTCCTGATACCCTTTCTATGGGGTGCGCCGACGGTGAAAACTCACACACGTGGTGCAGTGTTGCAGTTGTACGTTTCCAGATCGTTTTTAGCGAGCAGCGGAGTACTAAAAAAAGCACTCTCGGACAGAAACTCACTGCGCTTATGCAAATCCCCAGCATGATCACGGCAGATTTTCGGATTGCGCGCACGCTATCCTACGTTCGTACGTAGTACAAAGGTATCTGAGACACGTGATGTGAGTTTTCGCCGTCGGAGACCCCATATGCAGAGTTGCACACTCTTGGGGGGTTATATACTCTTGGTAGTAGTAGTCTTGAAAACTCCCCATGGACAGCTGTGAATGCATGCATTTTTGACGGGATTCAATCTTTCCAAACTGCAATTGTCTGACACATTTTTTTTGTCATCGATATAATTTCAGCAGGAGAGTATGATTGTGGCTGAAATTTTCTGTTCGTGTACTGCTCCTTGAGTGTACAAGATGTACTGTTAAATGTGTCACAATCCTGGCTGTAAGGGCACAATGTCTTGTTTTTCTGAGCTCGATATAGCGAGCATGGTGTTCATTTCTACTGTTTTCTATCCCATATAATGGTAAAGTCGTAAACAGCTTGCTTTCGGAAGTCTGTCTGGGCGCAGATCACTGAGATCAGGAGCGTTCTGGGGTAGAATAGAATATACCTTGTGCCTGCCGTGCGTAAACTGTGACGTATTGTCCAGCATGAGTCCCACCCATCAACCTCGCCCCAGTGTACCCTAACACCAAGAGTGCATAAGCAAGAGTATGCAACTATGGTTATGGGTCAGTGAGCGGCTCGCTGCCTTCATTACCTAACTTGCCTCCATCGTGCTCTGAAAGCATGGACTTAAACCAACAATTTTTCGTAGAGCACATACGTTTTTGCTCAATTCATTCCAGTACCTGCGCCATCTGCTGGCGGATGAATGTCACTAAGTGGACTCATGCCGCTGTTCCATGATGCTGTTGCGGTTATTTCTACAGTCAGACCTCGCATAACCGCACACATCCGTTTTCCACAAAAATATCCGGATAGGCGAGGAAACCGGATAACCGAACACCGTTTATGTTGGATGCATCACGTTTGCTGTAAATATGTAACCAGATTTTTTCTTCCGGATGGCGAGGGATCCGGATAATCGAGGACCGGATAAGCGAGGTCTGACTGTATTTCTTTATATAGGCTGGTGAATTTTGTCGTTGCTGTTACTGATGCTGGTGGTGGTGTGGTTGTTGCTGCTGCTGTTGTTGTTGTTGGTGTTGTTTGAATTCTTTATTCTCACGATGGCACCATCGCCAATAAGTTGTTGTTGTTGTCACTTTTCTATGATGTGTAGGTCATCTCTCATAAGGGATTCAAGGATCGTTCAGAGTATGATGAGCTCCTACACCAAGCCCTTGTGGAGGCGCAAGCAGAGATTGTGGTACTTGCCGGGTTCATGAGGATCCTCAGCGAACAGTTTGTGTCCAAGTGGAAAGGGCGCATGCTCAACATCCACCCGTCGTTGCTGCCCAGCTTTCGCGGCCACACGGCCCACGAGCAAGTGCTGGCTTCCGGCGTGCGCCTCTCCGGCTGCACGGTTCACTTTGTCGAGGTACAGTGCATGTCTGTCTGTGTGTGCGCGTGTGTGTGTGTATGTGTATGGTGTCTGGATCTGTATGTACAATGATTGTACGTTTGACTATGGGTGTGGGCTGGGGGGGGGGGGGGGGGGGTTATGTTTCCGGCAAGCGCAAACAGCTGCTACGTGCCTACAGTCCATTCAGAAAAAAATGAACTTCTAGCTTTTGGCCATAAATGGGTCAAACGTTGAGTTTTTTTAGAATTTTTTTCTGCAATCCCATATGGAATCCTCTTCCAATTATGTTTCTGAAGTTTTTTTGTCCAAAAAGCAAGCCATAGCAAGAATAGGATTTCGGCCAGGTTTTGCCCCAAAAGCACTGAATTGGGAAAAACCATCAAAATCCAGGCCGTTTGACCCCACCTGCAACAGTGCATTCTGCGGTTCGAACCCCAGTTCAGGCACCCTTTTTGGACCCTTTTTCAAATTTCAAAGTTCGCAGCACTGCACTGTGTACGATGAAATCACGAAAAATCGCCAAATACGGGAGCTCGCCAGAGCCAGGACCCATCATTTTATGAATGGACTGTAGCACCTTAATCATTGCAAATGGTAGCTGCTAACAGCTGGTGGTTTTCTTCAGCGTTGGTAATGAATATACCTAGTTGTGCGTTCGTAACAATTCAAAATACATGTACATGGAGTGAGCACCACAGCATCATGATGATACGTCCCTGAGCATTTTTTTCTCATCTTTACCCGTCTGTGCATGTGTGCATACGTGTCTGTCTGTGTGTGTGTGCTTGGCTGAATAGGCGGAGGTGGACGCCGGCGGAATAATCGTTCAGGAGTGCGTGCCAGTGCTGCCCGCAGACACGCTGGAGGCACTGCAGGACCGCGTCAAGGCCGTAGAACACAAGGCGTATCCGGAGGCACTGCGCCTGCTGGCCACGGGTCTCGTGCGCCTAGCTGACAATGGTCAGGTGGTGTTCACATAGTACAGTTGTAGCGTGTGCCTTTTTTCTTTTCTTTTTTCTTTTCATGAAACTGATACGTGTACATAAAATGTATGTACCGTCAGATCTTAATAACCCTGAGGCTGATACCCCTTGATCCTGCCAAGAGCGACATATTCCGGATATGCTGTACTATTTTTCGTGTTTTACTTTCAAGTTACCGTGCGTGCGTGTGTGTGTTGGGGGGGGGGGGGGGGGAGTGTTGGGCAATGATCATCGGAGAATGCATGAAGATTCATCCCTGCTGCTCATGATGTGCGTGAAGTGGCATGGCAGCATGCTTCACCGCATGATTGTGTACAATTCCACCATGCCCGGGACTGGACCAATTCCACCATGCCCGGGACTGGACCAATTCCACCATGCCCGGGACTGGACCAATTCCACCATGCCCGGGACTGGACTAACTGGAATCATACCTGTGATACCTGCACGTGCCAAGCATGCAGTCGTGTAGAGATCTTCTTCTCCTTCTCAACAGTGCATAAACTGTGTGTAACAACAGTATACAACTGTGATTATGGGTCATTGTGTGGTGCGCTGCCTTCATTATGACGTATCTTGCCTCCACCACGTTCCGAAAGCATGCACTCAAAACCACAATTTCTCGTACGAGTCCATCCATTTTTGCTCGATTCGTTCCAGTGCCTGCGCGATATCTAACTGTTGGTGCGGGAACTTTAGGTCCGTATGAAAGTTCATTTCAAACCAGAGGGAAAGTGCGATGCGCGGACTGCAGCTGAATGATGTAATGAAGGCAGCGCACAGCGCATCTGGCCCGTAAAAAAGAGATCACACAAGTTGTACTTGCATACTCTTGTTTTATGGACTCTTGTCCTTGTGTATAGCAGCCTGTACGTCGCAAACAAGTGTCCAAAGTCGTAGAGAGAACTTGGTGCCGAAATTCATAACAAGGGCCATGTACCTGGGTACATGCAGTCGAAGACCTACAGTTGTACATGTAGAATCTACAATAGCACCAAGAGTATAATATACCCCCCCCCCCCCCCCCCGCTTACATGACTGATTGTATTATACTCTTGGTAGTATCTGAACGTAGCCGGATAAGTGTGCATGCACCTTACCTGTACATAGTGTGTCTCAGGGAGTCGTAACTAAAATAGTTTACGCCTCCCTGGTACCATAGCATGGTGTATGTACAGTATCACTGTATAAGCACTCTATGCATGAATTTAAAAAAAAGAAAAGGATGAGTACAGTACACTCGTGTATTACAAAACTCATAATGTCAAAACAGGAGCCAGTGAGGTCATCTGAGACTGAAAGACCATGACATGTCGCGGATACATGTGTGATTTGTGCTCAAAGGGCATTTCCAAATACGTGTGGGACGATACTGTAAACTGCCTAATGTTCGGGGGGCGTATTTACATGTAATGTTTGCTACCGGTAATTTTGCGACAAGAGCGTAACACCGTTACACGATCGTGAAATCGAACTTCAACAGTTGATGTATATTATCAAGAGTACATAACCCCCGGGGGGTTATGTACTCTTGATATTATGTGTGGCCCAGTGCTCCGCGAATATTTGCCATCGTAAACTCGCTGGTTCGGAGAGATCGCAGAGAATTACTGGGCGGTTTACAGTACTTGGATGTGGACACTGGCACCACGATCACGAGGCATCTGGCTAAAGAGACGTCAGGGTTCTTGAATGGGGGCGCAGTGCCCCCTGCTCTGGTTGCACCCCCCCCCCCCCCCTGTGAAAAAGTGCCGCCCCTCCTCATTTCCGATTTTTCATGGAATTCAATGAAAATGCAGTCGAAAGTCACTATTAGGCCAAGTAAAAAAATTGATTGTTTATCGTCCGCGTCCGCCCGAATTTTCACCCTCCCAGCCAAATTATTTTATTTTTTTAATATTGGTAAATGTATTGTATGTACTGCGGTCTACGGCCTCTAATCAGCATGGCCGTAGATTTTCGAAGGTCGAGTCCACAGACTGAACCATAACTTTTGATTATCAGCTGCTTGATTTTCTTCATTTTTCTACGTTGGTTGTTGCACTTTTCCATATTTATATATAATAGAATCCTCAAAATGGTCTTGCAAGATGTTATTCATGGCTGACGATTCATCTGCATCACATGGATTTATATCACTCTGCGCCAAAATGGCTTCAAAACAAACAAAAAACGAAGAAAAAGGCACGCTTGGGTTGCGAACACCTACCCTACAGCCATACATACAAAAATAATAAATAAAATAAAAACCTCCCATCCGCCCCGATTTCTCGGGAAAAGCTGACGATAAATAATCAATATATTTTACATGGCCTTACATGTATATGGTTCATAGAGGCACCCAGGGAGTCGTAAAATACTTTTACGACTCCCTCCAGGCACCTTTGTCTGGGCGCGAAGTCGGCATTTCACCCCATATGTTGCATACATGTATGGCTAGAATCCTGGACATTCTACTGCACTAGTGTTCTGGCCAGGTCAAAATAGTGTGTGTGGGGGGGGGGGGGGCACAGTTACCCTGTTACCCATTTTCCCCAATTGTCTTGCAATGCAAAATGCAATGTATGGGGCTAAACCACCCCAAGCCAGACAAGTGTGCCTTCATGAACCCTCTCTTCGTGTGTTTATAGTGACTGTCGACTGCAATTTCGTTGAATTGCGATGAAACAAATTGAGTAGAGGCCGGGGGCGCCATATTTCCCGGGGGGGGGGGGGGGGAGGTGCTCAATCAAAGACTTTAAGTAGGGGGACCGCAACTGCCCCCCCCCCCTGCCCTCCTTTGGCTAGACCCCTGTGCAAATCGGGTACAGTATAGAATCGTAACAGTGTACATGTACGTGTATGCACCTGCCATCACCATGATCACATTTACACAGACAGTGCACGGTCCTGGTATTGTCGACGGTGTACACAAAGATGTGGCTTTCCTAACGTGGAACATTCGCCATACTACAGTCTACAGTGCTGGCCAAAGAAATCCAACCTTATGAATAAAGTGGCACCACGTTCGAGTGCATAGATCAGTAGGTGTAGTGCTAGGGCTGCGTAGCGCCCGGCGCTATTTTATTTATGAGGTTGGATTTATTTGGCCAGCACTGTAGTATACGAACACCTGGCTAGCGGTCTCTACACAGCAGGGAGTAGTGATATACCGTATTTTTACTACTCCCTGCTATGCAGTACGTGGTGGTCAGTAAACTGATGCTCAATCATTCATCTTGAATTGTTACTTTGTATATCGGTGGCCCCGTCTTAAAAATAATATGCAGGTTCTTGATGCAGGGAGATTCGCACTGCCGCTATCACCCTGTGCAACACGCTATGTAGTGCAAATCTCAATGCAGCTGAGTGTTCAATTCCTCTACAGTATGCTTGTACAGTTATCCAAATGTACAAATCGGTGCATCTGGTAAATCATGCCACACAATGTATGCCCTGCGTCAACATGACATATACAGACTGAGCCCACTGGGTTTCTCCATTTTTTTTCAAGTGACTGGCTTACTACATGACTTTGTGTAGAAGTTCATGTGCCGGTATACCCAACCTACCTGCCAGCAATGTGAACACAGATGACACTGTAGTTATACAGTCATGTACATGTATGCGGGTAACACTATTTGGTTGTAGGGGGTCGTCCGTAATGATCGAAAAATTAAAAAAATGTGCAAAATGGGGTGGGTTGTGAAGAGCGCTGGTGGAATTTTATTTTTTGATTTCGTACACTTGTTGCACCGTACAGTAGCGTTGATTGTTGCAAACATTGTGCTTTGTAGTACTTACTTCTTACTTGTGTTATGATCATGTTGTCACGGTGCTGCGGTGAGCTCCATGCTTACGGAAGTAAAACTTGAAGCCAGGTTCCTAACCATTATGCTTCTATTTTGTAGTCAACACATGCTTCTACGTAGTGCGCGCTTTGCACCTTGCATGCAGTGATGCATTCCTGCACCGTGGACTCCAGTCTAAACGTGTATTTTTCTGTGTAGCGAATTTTCGGTGTTATGGGGTATTCACACGACAGGCAAATCCACGTGCACCGGAAAGTTACTATGGTATTTTACCTGTGAACGAGAAAAGTGCCTGAAAGTGGCTGAAAAGTGAAAGCGAGCTGGGGGGGGGGGGGGCCCGCTTTCACGATAATCGTGGCGTGCACGAGTACATTTACACCAAAAAGCGCGAAACAAGACTTGATTTTTACGCGGCTCTTTAGAGCATGATAATTATTGTATGTGTGTTTTGAAATTTTGAAATGCCCATGGCTACTGGTCGGTGAAGCATTCAAAAATGCAAACGTGCCTGCCGTCGAGTGCAGCTGTGTGAATCCACACAGTCACTTTTCTCGTATGTCACTCCCTGTAAAACGTGCAAGTGCCTGTCGTGTGAATACCCCATAAGGGACCTGCCAGGTTTCAGGTGTAATGTGGAATTAGGCGATGAGCGTTCCCTCTGCACGTACAGTGCGTCCTCCAGTGTCATTTAGGTGTAATCTAAATTTAGGCCCCTGGTTTCTCTACGGAAATGACCGAAATTTAAGTTACACCGAAACTAACGTGCTACACAGTACCTACTTGTTTATACCGGTAAGAAGAAAAGGACCAGAGAGCTACAAGTGACGCTATGATATCCACTAACACCACCAGTTACTTTACAATCAGCTCGTGCGATAACATTGCACGACACTGATCAACGGTGCTGACGTTCTACACCTAACTGGCAATCAGCTCTAGCACATCTCGGATGCACACTCCAACAGCCTTCCAACTTGGAAGGTTCTATATAGAAAAAAACATTAGGAGGGGAAGGTGAGCGCAACCAAGACAAGCACGAGCTGAAAGTCTAAGCTGTGAAGGACGTTGGTGGTACACATGTCCAATACGTATGGATTATCCCAGGAGTACGAGCAAGAATACCCCCCCCCCCCCCCCCCCCCAGGGGTTATGAACAAAAGTAATGGAAATCATATCCCCAAAGGGAAGCTGTACACTGTACAGTGCATACTGTCATGCATCATGGCATGTATTGTGCAAGGCGTGTGCGTGTCAGGACGCGCTTCGAAAAATCAGCTTCTGTTCGAGTCATGCTTTTATACGCGACATTTTAATACGGTATAATTATTATTACATTTATCGTGTACTGAGTTCAAGCTAAGATCGAGTTGCGGGCAATTCCTAGTTACAGGCAGCGCCTGGTCCCAACCTGCCCGGATGATTATATGATGGGAAGGGGAGTTCTATTGTACTCGCGTTAACAGTTGAATTCACGGCAGACACTTGAAACAGTACAAAAACGTTACAAGCTCCATTGTGCTTGGTGTAACTGGCTGAAAGTGAACGGACAACATGCACTGAAGTGCACATGTACTAGTATCCTGCTGCCTGTGCATGAAGTGGCATGACCTACAGTGAGGCCAATATTGCAGCCAACACAGATGTAATCGGCCTTTAGGGCTGTAGGGTCATCACACACCAACAGCTATAGGAAATTTATTGGCATTATTTGCACATGAAGTATTATAATATTTCTGTTGGCAACAGAAATACTCCATGAGCAAATTATGCCAATAGTCTGCCTTCATACAGGAAAGCGTACCTCGAAAGGAATGATAACATATCCCTGGAGCAGCTACAATGTATGTGCCAGTGAAGTAATATTACCTTCTGCCAACGTTCGTGGTGTTGCTAGGCCTCATTTCCAGACAAAGATAAACTCGTTTATCCATTTTCGAATTTCTTGCAACTATCTCGTACCAATTGCAGACAGCATGCACATCCCAGAAGGAGGGAGAAGCGTATGTCAGGCACTATAAAATTAAACGAGACGCGCTGATGGTGTTACTTCACTCTATCTATTCTATTTCAACATTCTGTCATTCACTGATCCAGTCCTCAAAATTAATAATAATATTTTGCGAAGATCCATGTCCGGACGTCCGCGGATCCGCTCGTACATTTCAATTTTCATGCATGATTTTTGCGGCCCTGCATTCACTGTTGCATGTTGTCCCATTTTCAGCATATATGCGCATGCGCAAAACTATTTCGTTCCTCTTCTTACTTCACAAGGTATGGCCGAGTAGATTGGCTTTTTTCGTAGTGTTATTCCTCGATGAAGCTGCTGTTGTGGATGCCCGAGTGGAGTTGAATAAGTGTTGACTGGTTGTTTCTTCCTCTGGACTGAAATTTCAGGCTCCAAGATGCCGGTCTACGCAGTTGAGCCGGAAAATGCCACGAAGTGTATGTTGGCTTGTTTGGAATAGTTAGCATTTGCCCGAGTGCAAGGGAGTGAGATATGCATTGATTGTTGTTTCTGCATCCTGTAGCTTGTAAGGCACGCGGGTCCAACCTCCGTGTGCACTTCAAGGTAAGTTGTGGAATATACATCCTCAGTGATGTTGGAAAAATGCGTAAATCCTATGGACAATTTCCACAATATTCGCTTTTAGAACACCCGTGAAGCCGCCCAGGCCATCAAGAACATGCACATCCGCAGGGCTTCACGCTATCTGAAGGATGTCGTCGACAAGAAGCAGATCATACCTTTCCGCAGGTACAGCGGTGGTGTTGGTCGCAAGGCCCAAGTAAGTATATCATTTGAATGATTCTCCTCGTGCGCGTGCGTGCGTGCCTGCCACCGATTTTGTTATTGTTCGTGATCTCTTTGTAGCCCATACGGCTGCCTTATACTGTTGTGACACATGGAAAGTCGTCCATCGTTTGGTTGTGGCTTTACATCTGTTGCAACAGTCTTTGCTTGTTTTCAATTCAATTTCAATCTTGAATGCGATGTAAATAAATATTGTGAAAAAATATTTCATGAATCTTAGATAAAATTATGCACGTGTATAGCAGTATTACTATTAGCGGCTCATACTTCTGTAGCATGCGGAGCGAGTGCTTCCTTTTAGCAGCACTCAGATCGATCATGATAATGGCTGCAACATGCCCTTATTATAACTGAATTCGAACTCTTGCGTTTTGTTTTACTACTTTTTTGCTATAGTGCAAAGCCTTCAAGCACTCCCAGGGTCGCTGGCCCAAGAAGAGCGCGGAGTTCTTGCTGCAGCTTCTCAAGAATGCTGAGAGCAACGCTGAGCTGAAGGTATGTCTTGTTATATTCAACTGATTACTCTTACATTCATGTGATGTCAGGGAAATAATTGTCGCTGTATAATATGGTCGTAGTATTGCAGTTGGTGCCATCCAGCAGCCAGAGTTTAGTTGCCTCCAGCTTACTTGTTTACAGTTACACGTGTTGTTCTCGGCTGGGCATTTGGGGTCCCTGCTAAATTCTGGACTATTACCTCTGGTAACTGGTCTGTAATGGAGGCATGTATGAATGCCGTGTAGCTGTACCCTATGCTGCGGATAATTGTGATGCCTGCATCCCTGTTTGCTAGTACTTCGACACAAACATGACTTGCACTCTAATAATAGTGTACAGGGCACGAATGTGTGCTTGTATGCTTAGTGCTGTACTTCTACAGTACGATGTTATGTAAGCCTTTCTTCCACCTGGGATTTATGTGAAGCCTGTCTAATGTTGCCTTGATTTCATGGGACGGGTAAACATAGTCACCCCTTGTCCTGGGTTTCATCATTTTCTTGTGCTGTTGTCTCCTGCACAGGGTCTGGATGTCGACACTCTGGCTATTGAGCATATCCAGGTCAACCGTGCCCCTCACATGAGGCGTCGTACTTACCGTGCCCACGGTCGTATTGGACGTAAGTGGCCATATTGACCCGGTGTATGAAAACAAGGCCGTTGCTGTTCAATCCACCCCTCGATCTCGAATCTGAACTTTTCTTGCTCTTTCTGTGCATTGGCATGTCCAGAGAGTTCTTTTTGACCACTTTATAACAGCAGCTTTCTTGAATCTCTTATTTCTGCTTTTTTTGTGTTTCACAGCCTACATGTCATCTCCTTGTCACATTGAGATGATCCTTACCGAGCGCGACCAAGTCGTTGCCCGTGCTGAGGGTGATGAGGCACCCAAGAAGAAGGTGTCCAAGAAGAAGTTGGCCCGTGAGAAGATGAAGAACAGGGATGCTTAGACTCGGCAGTTTTGATCGTGGCTGGAAAAAAATAGTAAATGGCATTTGCTCAGTCCGTTTTTGTGAGTGGTGTGCGTTGAATAGTCAGTTTTTGTCTGCATGTGGGGGGGGGGGGGGGGCTGTCTTCCGTCGTGTGTCGTTGTTTGTGTTACACTATGATGTCTACTGACCGAAAGTATTTCGTTGAGCAGTATATGAGTTGGCCCTGTACGCCAAATTGACACTGCAAAACTTCTCGGGGTGGCGGGGTAGAGGAGATCCCACTGTGCCTGCCGTTCAGGAAAGAGAATACGCCCTGTGGGAATAGATATTTCATAAGCCCTTTCCACCTCCCATGGTGCTGTGTTTACATGAGGATTTTCAGCCCTGGTTGTATGGTACCATGGTTTTGTTTTTCGGCAGCTTTGCCAGATTGCCCAACAAAATAAGACCGCCCCAGGGCCTTGGGAACAATGTTTTTGGACGCGCAGCTACTGTATGGTTACATGCCCCTGCTTTCAGAGTGTGGTGGAGCCACAGTTGCATGTTCTTGTACGTCTACAGTAGAGTCACGTGCTCCCAAGAACGTTGTTTACATGGGGTCGGCCTGGGACGTTCTTATTTTTTTGCAATCTGTGTTCTTAGAAACAATCCGCACTGAATCATATCAAGAGTACATGACCCCCAACTTGGGCCAATGGTGTGCAACTCCAGCTACACTGTATGGGGTCTGCGACGGCAGAAGTTCACATCACGTGATGAACCCGTACACATTATTTGCACTCTATGCATGATTGATACAGGGTTGTATGCAACCCAGCTTTGGGTACAACTCTCTTGTGGTGACTTTGCACTGTTTGCCAGTGTAACCTTTTGAACCATATCACGTGATGTGAAGTTCTGCCGTCGCAGCACTACATAGAGGTTGTGCAGGCAGTTGCCCACTCTGCCTGCGGAATATTGCAGAAAAGGGAGAAATTGCTTTTTCTGGAGACTTTTGATGTATCTTCACAGCCAAACCAACCTGCTTGTGACTTTCAAAATCAATGTGCACTACAGTAGAGTCGCGCGCCCAGGAACGTTGTTTCCAAGGGCTTAGCCTGGGACATTCTTATTTTTTCAGCAATCTGGCTGCGTTCTCATAGCACGTTCTTAGAAACAGTGCGTACTAGATTATGTATTCCACAAGCTGCCAGAAAACCAACACCGCCGTTCTATGGGTACGTTCTTAAGAATTTTAGGAGGCTCTCGAAAGCAGACGTGGATGAAACTTGGAGATTCCCACGGTTTGGGATCAGCGCATGCGAACTACAGCTGAAAGCATGTGTTGTACATGTACGCATTTCCCTTCTTGCATATGCACAATGCGTACTACATTCGTGGTACTCAAGATCACGGCCCATTTGGCGCTTCATTTCCGAATTCTTAGAGACCAGTTTTTGCATTATACCACTTTCTTCGACTTCTCTTTTCTTCTTCTCCGAGAAGCTAGAGAAAATGAGAAAGCATCCTTAGCTTTAGGCTGTGGTGTTCTTAGTATTTCAGGCTGGACGTTCTTGGGCTCCACGTTCTTCAGCGCGCGACTCTACTGTATATTGGGGGTTATGAACTCTCGATATTATGGAGCTTTCAATGTTTTTGACCAGGATTTCGCATAATTCCATTTCAGAACTTATGGAGACAAAAAACTTCGATGGGGTTGCAGAAATTCGATCTGTTTTACGCTCATTTTTCAGGGGCCTTGAAGAATTGCCACAGAATTCTGCACGGAATTTCTGATATTCTGCCGCGGAATTCCCAGGGGACAGCCCCATGGAATTTTTTTAAAGTTGTGCACATCTTCCGCGGATCCGGTACATATTGGGCTGAATTTGCGGTAAAATGTGTTGGTTTACAGATCTTCAGTCATGCGTCTCATACGGTGCTCTTGTACCCAATCTCCATCACATGCACTGTACCGGAATGGCACTGCAGTGCAGTAGGAGCATGACATGCAGAGTACAGTTGCGCATCCAAGAACGTTGTTTCCAAGGGGCTAGCCTGGGGCGTTCTTATTTTTCAGTAATCTGGCAGTGCATCCCTCCACGTTCTTCGGCGCACGACTGTACGCGCAGGGCTGCAATAATCAGGCACTGTGACCAGGCGACTAGCCTGGGGCGTTCTTATTTTTCAGTAATCTGGCAGTGCATCCCTCCACGTTCTTCGGCGCACGACTGTACGCGCAGGGCTGCAATAATCAGGCACTGTGACCAGGCGACTGGTGTACGCATGAGCATGTGATGTATATATAAACACATGGTACGGGCTACAGAGGGTATTATGGGTGATTGTATGCCCTAGTGCACTACTAGGGCATACAATCAGCCATAATACCCTTCCGTACCATGTATGAACTATAATAAACACATGGTACGGAGGGCATTATGGCTGATTTCCCCCCCCCCCCCCACCGAACCATGTGTAGTATTGTGTACCATAATTTTGTCTACAACTAGGCACGTGGCATGTATGAACTATAATAAACACATTGTGCATCGTGCATTATGGCTGATTTATGAACGTTTTGTATCAGATTTACTTGCAGTTCCAAGAATATGCCTTTGCATTTTTTGTGATAGTGTTGCCTATTGGGCGGTTAGTTAGCTGATTCGCTGTGGCTTTGGAGTTGCCGTTGAACGAAAACAGCCCTGACCAAGTGGTACTAGTAATTAGACTAGTTTTGGGAGTGCATTGTAAATGTTCTTATTCGGAACAATGATCCTTTTTCACATGCACCTGAGATTTTGTGCTGTTATAGTTTACTTGAGATCCATGTGCCAGATGTACAGCCCTAGTGTACATGTAGCAACATGACTTTGTAGGTACATTTGAAGTACATGTACATGAAGGTTCACCAGTCGACTTGTTGTAATGCATTGTAATAGACATGCTGTATGTCATTCTCTTGTCACGTTACTTCTCCTATGTCGACATTGCTAGTAAAATATAATTGCTTTGGACGGTGCGCGTATTTTTATAAGTAGTTTCGTTTTCGACCTTTTCAGCTGCCATTTGCCCTGACCATGCCTCATGCGTGTTTCACAGCATAGTACTTTTCGGCTCGTTTTCTTCTTCAACACTAGCTGTCTCACTTTGTTCTTGCCCATACAAGAGGCTGTCAATCGTACCCACCCAGTAGTTTCGTTTTGTGTGGTGTCTGCGAGTGCATGTGGTGTCCGCGAGTGCATGTGGTGTCCTTACTGACCTTAGGAACGGTCTCATGTGCTCTATGTGCGCTGGAGTACTGCCAATCAATCATGTTAGTGTACCAGGTCACCTGGTCACTGCCCTAAAAGCATGGCCTGCCAATTATTTATGTACCAGGTCACCTGGTCACTGCCCTAACAGCATGGCCTGCTGCTGGTACATAATTATTGGCAGTGCACCAGCGTACATGCTGTACGCCTGGGGTCATTCCTGATGTATGTAATCAAGCACGCTCAGGAGGTCATGATGGCTGAATCTTGCCCGAGCCTGCAGCCCAAGGGCCGTAGGCCCGAGGGCTGCAGGCAAGGGCAAGATTCAGCCATCATGACAGACAGATCAGAGCGTGCTTGATTTGATTTCTTACAGCGCGAAGCAACATATTAGGGAAGGTCGAAGGGTCGAAAAATTATTCCCGAAATGACGTCAAACGGTCCTGAAACTCCCGAAATGACGTCAAACAGTACTGATGGCCTGATTATGCCCGCGGCGGGAAGATCGCCTATTGGCCATGGCCCCGGCAACGATCACGTGTCATGTAAGAAATGTGCATATACTCAGTATGGGCAGGAGCAAGACTGCCAAGAGTACATGTACTCTTGGCAGGTGGTATTGTACCGGTACTACTACTCCCTGGGCATGGGTACGCCGTACCCGGGCATGATCGCAATCCAGGGCACGGTTCTGCTCTGCAGCTCTGATTGGCCAAATGCTAGCAACGACCTGACAACAGGCACGTGACATGTATGAAGTATCCACCAGGGAGTAGAATCTAGTACCCAAGGGCCAAACGCCCACTTGCACTGATGTTCCCCCCGCGCCGCGGCGCCGTTTTGTATCACCAAGACATATTAATAATTATCGTACCGGTACGCGGTACGGTGACTCTATCTCGTCAAGCTTGGTAGCACGTGTGAGCCTGTAGCTAGCTGTGAGGATCTAGGAGGAAGACCTCGAAGCTACAAAAATAGGCAAGGTACTCACTCTTGTAGTACTTGTACACTGTAGTTTGTTTTTCGACTGTCGAAGCCAAGAAAGAGAGGCACTGAACAGTGCTGGAAACGACAGTTTGGCTAAAGAGAAACTGACCTGCAACAATCAGTCTGTGGTATTGTGGCCTAGGACTGTCGACATTCCTTCCCGGATCCCTGAGGCTGTGCGTACTCTGTGCACACATACCTGACCATTACATTTTTTGATTCGTTGTTGGAGAGTGAAAATGCCTAGGACTACTGCTGCCATCCTTGCAGCTTTCTTTTCCTGCATCTCACTGGGGACAGCTTTGGGCGAGGATGTTTACATGCGGGGTGAGTGCTCTCGTTTTACACTCTGGAATATCTTCGAAAGGCTTTTTGCTACACTCCATTTTGTGTTCTTATCGAAGTAAAACTAAAAAGGGAAGTTGAGAAGCTGTTTTGACTCTGGTTTCTCCCATAAATAAGATTTCTTCCCTAAACACATGGTCGGCCGACGAGCCCCTTTGCTCACTGCTCAGTGTGCTGAGCCCGCTGCCACTCTGTGACTGACGACTATTCTGGCACCGTCCGCTGCACTGATAGGCACCCTGTACCATCCATGCGTTCATGATCTATTACAAACATACACAATAGTCATGTAGATACAGGTAGATCTACCGTAAAGTACCGTTGATCCGCCTCCATGATCACGCTGTGTCGCTTCCAAGCTGGTTTTTCAGTAGGGGCGGGATCAAGGCTTTCATGTGCAGTAGTAGTATTTATATGCACAACTACACAAAAGGTCAGACTGTTTTGCACAACTACACAAAAGGTCGAACTTGCTGTGCTGGATTGTGCACATTTTCATCCATATGAAGGGTTTTTTAGATGGAAAACCCCAACAACCATTTCAGCACTTTTCGGATAAAGGCCAAAAAAGGATTCACTTTATGCGTAATCTGTATCTAAATCCTTATCTGGGTACCAGGTTTCTCAAAATTTGTGCTTGCCGCGTTTTGCGTATAAACTCTTCACATGCATATCTCCACTGGCACGCATTCTGCATGTGTACCCCAGTCCAAGTGTGGGTTCACCACCGTACTTTGACGTATAGCGTATTTTCCCGTTTATAAGTCGACCCCGGTTATAAGTCGAAGCCCCGTACTTGGGACCTCGACTTCCAGGTTTAATGGCAGTCAAACCCCGGTTATAAGTCGACTACCCCTTTTTTTAGTTCCGTTTTTAGGTCCTAAAAGGTCGACTTATATTCTGGAAAATACGGCACGCTGTAGTCGCTTCACAGGTAGATATTCAACTGGGGTCGGATCAACGGGTACTGCACGGTGTGAGAAACACTGGACTGCCAATATGCACAGAGGCACAGAGGCACAGAGGGCACGGCACGGATACCTGTAGAAGTACAGTAAAATAATATGTCTTATAGGACTACTCCGGGGGACTTCCTAGAGCAGTCCTGTTGGCCAGGCAGTAGCTACATGTACATGTACATGGTCCCCCTTTTCAGGCTCAGTATTTTTTATTATGTTATAATATTATATTTTTACTAAGACTACTTAAATGCTGCAGCTAGGGAACCACACACGACATGAATCGTGTGTAGTATGCCCCTTGACTAGTCATCAGCGGATAATGCCGGCATAGTTCTGAGCATAACCCCACCTTTTCTGGGGAAAAAGGAATGGCTGGGAATATCTCAGCATATGTACTGCATAAAGTAAGCCAGTGCCCCGATTTGGCCCCAATCCAATCGGGCCTCATTGGGGATCCAAATGGGGACATGCTCTGCGACTCTTTTGCTGCATAAGTACTAGCATTGCATAAAGCAGAGCAGGGTCCCGATTGGGACTTATCCGGGGTCCAATTTGAGCCCCAACTGGCACAATTTAGTGATGCCTACGCGTGGCCAAGTTCACTTCATTGTACAATCATACACATGTGATCTATTATCTGTCTGATCAGTGTACAGTCTGTACCGGTTGTACGTGATACTCTAGCCAGGCCGACTGGTCAGGGCTTTCAATTGCTACTGCTAGAACCTGCCCCTTCGCACACACACACACACACACCATTGACCATTGGACGCCCATCGCCAGAGGCGATGATAGCGATGCTACAGCAGAAGCCATAGCAACTTGTGCTGGGATTGCACCATTCAACAGCTTGCAAGGCTGAAGAATTGACCACCACTATTCAGCCTGGTCTACACCACACAGCTTTGAAGTGGCTTTTTTCTGGCCAGTGAATCCCTACTTTTTGGTCTTTTTATTTTTTTCCCGCACACACATCACACCACATACTCCGGCATGCACTCACACACACACACACACACACACACACACACACACACACACACACACACACACACACACACACACACACACACACACACACACACACACACACACACACACACACACACACACACACACACACACACACACACACACACACACACACACACACACACACACACACACACACACACACACACACACACCCGCGCACGCACACGCGTGCACTTATATTGATACAAGGTTTCCATAAATGACCTTTCTTGGCAGTGAGACACATCGGTGCCGGATGTACACCCTTCATAGTATGACCTGTGGAATTATTCTTCCTTGCCGCATTTGAAGACGGAAAAGTGAGTGCTGCGCTGATGAGTCGACAAAGAACGAAACAGTTCTGTCCACAGATTGAGGATTGAAGTTAAAGATTCGGCCGGGTTCTACGAGATTTGGCCGGGTTCTATGAAATTTGGCCAGGTATAGCATAGCAAAATGTATGGAGAAGCAGTCTCCAACCGACAATATTTAAATTTGAACCAGGTTTTGAGCCTCCGAAATCAGGCTGTCGAAAGCCAGCTCGACCACTGTAAATGCCATGCTAAATCTAACGAGGAGAAATCTGTTGTTAGGCGAGACCAAAAAAATAGAGATTCCCGGTCCCTCCCGCACCTAAATCGAGCTGAGGTCAATTTTTTTACTAGTTCGTATACATGTACAGTGCGTATCGGTTATAGTGTGGTCGTGTAAAAGAATATGCTGCCTACAAGAATGAACTCTCATGTTTTCATATTCATAACATGGATTTCAAGTGCACATTTATTCTTACAAGCAATATTATCGTATAATAGAATATATCGGTCCTAAGAATGGACTTTGTGTAGCAAAACATACCAGATTAGTAGAAAGTATATCGCCTATAGTAATAATATCCGTCCAATGCTGTTCCGATCTGACTCGCGTTGGGTCGTAGTGCTGCAGGTTCAACTGTTGTGGTCATGTAACTCATTTTGCATAGCCACATGGTAAGCCTATGTGACTATGACCAGCCGCATGCACCGTAACACTGCATTGCATGTACGATGATCTTCCTGCCTCTGCGCACATGCACATGATATGTCACACTTGATTTATCGTGTGTAAGAAATATCGGAAATAAGAATAGAAAGTCGTTTTTCAAACACCCACGCTATAACCCATACCTACTGTACAGTACAAATTATGTGAGTAGATCTGTGACACGGAGTCACACAAACCCTTGTACGACTCGCTGGTGTACGACTCCTTTAAATATTCTTCCTTGTATGGCTGGTAATACTGCCCGCATGGTGCCCCAAGCATAACAGTCCGATACACCGTATCTCCTGCTAGTGATGATGGCTATTCTGACTAGCTGTACTCTTGTGTTGTGCTCATTCAGGTATCAAGCCTACCAATCCAGGCACCGCCGAATTTCTCCAGTTAGACGAGGAGGACCTCAAGCTCACGCCGGTTAGTGCGCCTACTCTTGTGTCGTGCAGAGGGATCAATTTGTAGTCTTCGGGGTGCTGAGTCGAATAGTCTTGGTCCGAGGAAGCTGAGCCACTCCCTTCCTCCCTTATTCCCAATTAAACTCGCCACTTCCACTGAAACTGGGTGACTGCGCCCTACTAGATGGGGATTTGTATGCAAAATGTCGCTAAAAACGCCATTTCGTTCTTATAAAAGCACGCATGACCACGATTGGCCCATATGTTGTAGTCTTTTGGACGCTGGGTTGACTGGTTTTGGTTCGAGAAGGCTGCGATGCAGCGTTCGGCCCTTATTCCCAATCAAACATGGTTGAATAAGGGGTCGCGTGCTCATGCGTACACCAGTCACCTGGTCACCGTGCCTGCAGGCTACAACTTTCACACCAATTTTCAACTCGAGTGACAGGAACGCTGCAAGTTGTAGCCTGCAGGCACGGTGACCAGGTGACTGGTGTACGCATGAGCACGCGACCGCTTATTCAACCATGTTCGATCGGGAACAAGGGCCGAATGCTGCCGCAGCAAAGTATTACGCCTCACAGGCCAGGGTGGAAAATAGCCGAAGAATTTATTATGCATCGAATATTCGTTGGTTTTACAGTATGTGTGTGTGTGCATGTGTGTGTGTGTGTGTGTGTGTGTGTGTGTGTGTGTGTGTGTGTGTGTGTATGTATGTGTGTGTGTGTGCGCGCGCGCGCGCGCGTGTGTGTGTGTGTGTGCGTGTGTGTGCGTGTGTGTGTGTGTGTGTGTGTGTGTGTGTGTGTGTGTGTGTGTGTGTGTGTGTGTGTGTGTGTGTGTGCGTGCGTGCGTGCGTGCGTGCGTGCGTGCGTGCGTGCGTGCGCGCGCGTGCGTGCGTGCGTGCGTGCGTGCGTGCGTGCGTGCGTGCGTGCGTGCGTGCGTGCGTGCGTGCGTGCGTGCGTGCGTGCGTGCGTGCGTGCGTGCGTGCGTGTGTGTGTGTATGTGTGTGTGTGTGTGTGTGTGTGTGTGTGTGTGTGTGTGTGTGTGTGTGTGTGTGTGTGTGTGTGTGTGTGTGTACATATACATGTACCGGTATGTGTAACTGCCTGTGTGTACGTGATTGTGTGTACGTGATTGTGTGCAGGTGTATGGCAGCAACATAACGTGCAAGGTGGAGCGCTCAGCGTCCGTACCAACTTCAGGTGGGTCCAGGTTTTTGTAGATAACATCTTCTAGCAGCTTGTTTTACCATCACCATCGTTCTATACTCGTACAGCGTTAAGTTATTTTCCAATGCAATGTCCTGTACAGCTGCGCTCGGTGTAATCCGACCCCAAGTGTATATTTGGTGCCCTTGACTTGCATGGCCCTTGATGCCCTGGAAGCAGCACGAATGCGGCTGGACGTACCCAATGTACATGGTACAAGTACAGTAATGCAATCGGAACTGATCCAGGGCGCCAGCTTTGCACTGTGGGTCGGGTTTCAACGAGCGTAACCGTACTTATCTGTACTCTATGTTTCTTATGTATGATCATCTCGACATGGTCACCAACACTGAATCATCATGCCTGGGGTTGGATCATGATCTAGCTGCCACCTCCGCCGCCGCCACTACTGGCCACTGCTTCTGCTGACTGTCAAATTGCCACCACCGCTGCCACCCATCATCACGGCCACTGCAGTCACGGCCACCGCAGCCCTCATCTTGCCACTATCCAGCCATGCTTAGATCTGCGGTACGTTGTATGATCTTCACTCAGCAAGAAGTCGTCTGCCTTTGTGATGGCATATGTGTTCTGGCACTGTCCTGCTGTTTTCTGTCACTTCCTTTCTTAC